TTCATTTGCATAAAGTATCAATAAGATACGCACGTTGTTCCATTGTATTCGGAATTTTTCTCTCTTTTCGAGATTGCAAATTTTTTATTCACTTGAAATATCTCCGTTGTGCGCACAGATTCGCGCGTTTATTAATCTATTAGAAACTAAATCATCTCTTCTAAATTGTAGAAATAAATAAATTATGTCTCTTACATTAACTTCAAAATTAAAGAGAAAAAATATCTAATAAAGTGTTACTTTCAATTTTATGTATATATTTCATATCTTTTGATCTAAGTTTTCGTTTTGTTTTCTCTCTCGCACAACATAATTTCAAATACTTTTTTTAAATAAAAAATGTAAGAGATAGAAAATGTGGCGCTTATTTATTACGTTGCAGATAACTGAGGTATCATCGGACAAAATAAAAGTGAATTTATGCAATGTAGCATATAATTATTCTATAAGAACTCGTCTGGCCTTTTAGCAGAAACGTATAGTGCGGCGGCAATTGTCTCGTAGGTTCATTGCACTCTCTTTTGCGACATTTTATAATTACAACGGCTGCTGCGCCGCCGTTACGTTCTGCGAACATCGTGCAAAAATGTATAATATCATTGGGAAACATTCGATACACCACGTTGAACGGAGTTGACCAATAACTTCTGCAAACATAACAGTTTCTATTGAATTATATATTTTGAAGGTAACGATTGAATTTTTATATATAAACGCGTAATATTATTTAATTATTTACTAGATACGAGCATACAGTGTTTTTTTATTTATGATTTTATATTTTATTTTTTTTTATATATTCCTTAATTCTTGATATGTTCATTTGTATCATTATACACTTATATTTTTACATTTACATTTACTTTTACATTTATATTATTATTCGTTTCTTTTTTTACATTTATGTTGCGTATCAACTTTACATTAAACATCAATTTAAGTATCTCTTTTCACGTTTTTTACATACAAGATAAAGTTATTAAATCAGTAATATATGTACAAAAATTACACAAAAAAAACAAGTAACAGATATACGTTAAAAGGGTCTTGTTGTATATAATGTTGCGTCCTCTTCTCTCCCATTCTTCCAACTTATACAGTTAGCATATTAATCTAACGGTCTCACTTGAGATTTCGGCTACTTACAGATGACGAGGTCAGAGAGAAGAACGCATATATATAGCGTACTTACCAAGTCCTAACACAGTGACACTCGATCAATAGCAACAAATAACAAAAATTGTGTCAAACATGATTTCCTCCATTTAAATTCACAATTAAAAAAAAAAAGATTATCGCAAAAAGTCAAAAATTAAATAAGAAATTATATATATATATATATATCAATTTTCTTAAGACGCGCAATTTATTAATTTAATTGTTTTACTCTCTGCTTTGAAAATGTAAAGTCGAATTACTGCCATAGTTACTATTTCTTCCAACAATTTTCTCAACAGTGTATATAAAAATAAATAATAGCAGATTAAAATTAAACAATATCAAATCAGGTATTTTAGCAAAATATAGATATGTCGATGCGTGGTTTATCTTCTCCAGTAATTGACATACGTTTCGATCTTAAGTGCAAGTTCTTCTTAATGTTAAGAATTGCAACAAATTGTTGTTTTACGTATGTATAGCGGTATAATGATTTTCCGCGCAACAACGAAAGGCTTACTGTTATATATTACGTATCCACATCCTAAGAACACAGTTACTTTTCCTTTACTAGCGCACTTTATTGTTAGACCTTTGCAGGATACCATATTCCTTCCCTTAATTGCAACGGTAGAATTCGGCTATGCAAAAACTACATAAAAAAAGTGTCTAGTTTGGACCTTTTTTTTTTGAGTAATTTTTTTTTTTTATCTTTTGTCGTCAAAAGGTTAGTGTGTATGTCGGACTTGGACTCGATCGTGTAACGATTTTGTGACACATATTTTTCAAACGTATCACGCGTAACCAATTGCAAGTCTTCGATATTTTTCAAGATATTTTAACAGAAGTATTAAACGACGCAGTCGATTATTGATTATTCTATTAAAACAGAATTTATTTCACTTACCTAACTTCAGCGACAGATTCCATTCGATAATCTAAAAAAATGAACCTTACTGTACATATGTATTTTTACAAGCACGTTTGACCTATATTACTCTGTCTCCGATGCAGAGACCCACTATTCGTGAACAAACTTCGATGTGATATAATCGATTGTGTTCTACACTGTACCTTATAAATCATTGTGACATACATAGAATTTTTTCAAACAATGGAGAACCATGAATATTTAAGCGTCCCTGAGTAACATCTTGAAAATATTTCGAAAAACATCTGTCTTACACATTTCCATCACACACACTTTTGGTTAAATTAATTCCACGAATTCCTCTTTTAATACTTTTTGTTCACAATAAAAAAAACATGGAAATATCTTTCATGAAGTATTTTTCGGAATCAATTTCGAAATTTTTCCAACTCGGACTTTTCAAAAAAAAAAAAAAACGTGTGTTAGGGCGCAAATTCCTCTGTGTGTGCACGTCTTATAGACTGCGTTGAGATAGCTCGCTTTCGTGATAAAAGTATTATTCTTATTATTTCATTGAATGTGAAATAAGGATAAGATAAACTCTTTTATCATGAAAGCGAGCTTTCCGAATGTAGCTTTAGAAACATTCGCGCGCGATTGACCAAGGTGAGAGAACCGCGCTAATTAATTATGCGTGCGCAAACGGCCTATTGTGAGTGACCGCCGCACGTCCGACTGTTTTCTGTCGTTATACGAGACAAAGTGCAGTGCAGTTTTGGAAAGATACAAAGTAATATTACACCAATGTGGTGCCTGCAGAGCACGGTTATGCTTCGACACGCATCATTGGCTGCACAATCTTTTTCTCGGATGAGTGTAAGACAAAAAAAGAGGTCGTGCAAAATCATAAACGTTGTTCTCTTATATCCTCACTCTTCGTCGATGAAATATTAAAATTCGCTCTGTCGCTTAGGATTATAGAATGATATTGTCAAGCTTGCCCTGTACTTAGACCGTGCTATTTATTCGCGATTTGTGTGTAAAATTCATAAATATGAAAAAAAAAAAAAAACACACATTTGTCAATATGTTCAATTATATAACTAAATCGATGTATATAACTAAAATATATTAGACTTTTACAGAAATTTATTATTTATTATTATTTTATTATTATTTATTATTTATTATTATTTATCGGCCATAATAATATTTATTTTTTTCAGTATTATTTTGATTATTGCAGTAATAAATTTCTGTAAGGGAAAAATGTTAAGTTATGCAGCACGTAAGATTAATAAATATTTAATAAACATTCTATATTTTCAATATTCAATATCCAATAGATATTATAGAATATAACTATTGCGTAACTCTTTGGAACTAATTCATGTTCATTTTTTGATGATTGTTTTATTGTGACAAAGACGGAAAAATTTTCGTCAGATTTAATTCCCACAACTTCCACTCGTGAGAATATTTTCAGAATATAAATGGACAAAAAAATTACACACGTGTGTGTGCTTTACCATTATGTAAGTTTCTATACTTATTTTATAACTTTTTTGGTTACGTTTATCTACGTAAAATAAATTTCTGGCAGGAAGTTTTTCTTTGAGGAAGTTCAAAGACGCATAGGCAATAAATTTATTTTTTTGCCAATTTCTTTCTTATAACATGAAGTTCCGTTTACATCCCGTTACTTTTTGATAAAAGTGCAATTTAAGCTATTGAAAGTAGATGAAAGAATTACTATTAATTTAGTTACGGATGTCTAGCGGTTATTGAAAAATGCGTTTGTGTGTGTATGTTTATGCATTCGTTGTGAAACTTGAAAAAAAAATCTTTTTCTGAGTATATATATATAAAGAAGACCTAAAGAAAAAACGTGGGTACCGTTACTAACTTTGGTCCGACAAAAAGACAATAGGTTCCCTGTAGGTTTCGTTTTTTTTCAATTCGGCTACCCTAATAGGCAAATTGTGGAAATACTGCACAAAAATGGCATCATGAATAACGACGATCCTGCAAATAAAATGTTGTAAATAATATTTGTCAAAAATTGCAAAAGTCGTTATGCATTTCCATAAATATATACACGAATTAAGTTGATTTCTTCATATGCAATTATATTTTTTTCTACATATTTTAAACATCACATAGTTGAAATTTTTTCTCAATTATTGGACAATTTCTTTTTGAAATTAATTTTGCAAATATATTCCTAAGATGATTTGCCATAACGTTACTCTTTTGCCGAAATAGTATTTGGAAAGTAATTTTGCAAACAACAAATATTTTATAAAAGATCAATGTTTTTACATCTATTTCCTAGAATATCTATATAATTGCAAATTACAATTTTAGTGCAAGATTTCGTCACATAATTCTGTAAATGTTTTCTTATCAGGATACCGATCATGATTATTGATGAAATTTTATGTTTAAAACTAGCATCCATGGTAAATTTAAAATTTGGTTGACTGCCAAAACACCAAATTGTGTAATGTAATTATTATACACTCAAGTATATTACACAAACATCTAGCTTCGGGCTTATTTGTTTTTTTTTTGTTTGATTTTTTTATCAATTGTTTCTATTAAAATTCAATGTTTTTTTTAGATTAAACACCTCACTAAAAAATTGATACGGGAAGCAAGAGGAAAAAAACAGAATAAAGTATTTCAAGCTTTTTTTTATATAAATTATACAATACATAATATATATTTTTTGCAGCATGCCAAATCTTAAAAGACTTATGTTATGCGTCTGCATATAAAACATCGAAAAATAGAATATATTTATAATGTTTTATTAATTAAGAGCGATTCTCTCAGAACTTAAGTTATTCTTCTCTTTACTGTTAGAGTAAAAAAATCTTCAAAAAATATAAGCAAACTTTGATATAAAAATACATAGATCAGTAAACTTCGAATTTGTAAAATATATAGTTTTACTTTGTACGTGTTTTTTTTTTGGAAGATTAATGTTAATAATATATGGCTACAGCATTAAAAATATACTTTTGCGAACACATACATATCCATATATACATCAATTTATGAATAATATTTTTTAATTTCTTTAAGAAGTAATGGTTCTGTTGTTTCATTTATCTCTATGAATCTTTTGTTGGCTCTACTAAAGTAATAAATATCACCGGTATAAATATCGAACCAGAGTGCGTGAATGTGCAAGTCGTGTCTTTCTAGGCGTTTCTTTAGGAATCCGTACGACGCAATATTTTGAAGCTGCTGTAACGTATTGATCTGCAACACAAAAAAATAACGGTAACAAATCAATTGTGTTGCAGTCATCTTGTTTACTGACTTGTGACAGTTTGTCCTCGATCGAAAATTTATTTTCCGGGTCGATGTAAGCAACGAATTTTCTCATTGGAGTCTCAGCTTGGAAAACAATAGGCTCGTGAAAACCAACGATCTCGAGATGTTGGAATTTTGTCAAGCTACTGCTGGCGTGCGCGCACAGCCACGCTCTCAAAGGTGAAATTCTTCTGTTTGTCTAAAATTCGAGTGGCGCTTTACAAGTTCTGTTTGCAGAAATGAAGAAATTTCATATTGTAACTAAAAAAATATTTATATTTTTATAGTAATTAAACCATAAATCTCAAAAAGCAAAACGCACTTGAGACGCAAATTCCTCGTCCCGTAAAGCGTAGAGTAAGTTTATCGCTTTGCAATCACTGTGGCCGCAAACTATAACGTGTCTTATATCGTTTACCACGCAACCGAGTTCCAACGCCGCCGATTCGCACATAGTAAATTCGTCTACAAAATGTTGCGAGTGCGGAACAATGTTACCGGGATTTCGGACTGAAAAAGTAAATTTAATTAGACCGTATGCGATAATGTCATAAGAAATTGTCGTACCAACAAACATGTCTCCAACATTCGTCTCCGTAAATCTAGTTGGGATCATCCGGGAATCCATGCAGGTAAAGAATACTGCCTTTGGCTGTGATAAGAGCAATATCAAAATTACTATCAAGCATGTTAATACTTTATAAGAAAAAAGATGCATATAAAGACAGGGTAAGACTTCGGAATTCGTTTTTTTTTTTTTCTTTCTTTCAAGTTTGAAACGCTGTACAGATCGTTCCAATAGCTCCGGAGCATCTGAAGACAAACTTGAAAGGATCTCAAATATAAGAACGGTCTATGTGAATAATACCGGGCTTCCAATCAGATCAGAGCCTTCCAACTGATCATGTGACTGCATAGAAATCTTATGGCGCAAACCGCGCGCCGTGCGCAAGTTGGAAGGCTTTGAATTAGACAGACGATAGACAGTTGTGTTGCAGCTCACTCTATTGGAAATATACAGCAATTTTAACAGCTAAAATTTACTCTACTGTACCGATACGAATATAGCCAATGTGTTTCAAAATTCACTGCCAGTATTAGATATTTATATCTATAGTTCGTAGTACATATATTATAGATTTAATGGCTGTAAATTTTGAAACAGAGAGGTATATTAGAATTAGGATATGGAACGGAGAAAGTGTACAAGATGAAAAAGGAAAACATAATCCCCTACTTTCTTTTGTTAGAGGAAGAAGGAGGCTGCACGAATGTCGTTTTGTCTCTCTCTCACTTTTTCTCTCCGTAAGCATCAGATCTCTCGTGTATTCGATCTATGTATACGAATGTCTATGGTTCAAAACACCTGTTTACGCGCGAGTCCCACGTAACCACTGGTATAACACCGATACATAAATTGTCTGAGTTTTTTTTTTATAACACTGTGCGAACGTACCTCGGGATGATCTCTAACTTGTAGAAATTGTTTCACCATTCCTTCCCGATGACACTTTCTGTACTTCATGATTCCTTTGAGTATTTTATCCATTGCAGTATTCGATCGATAACTATCGTATAACTAGTGCGGCCGAACAAAAAGCGCTGACAATATACACGATCACGCCATTTATCGCCATGATGGCGGGAGATTTCAATTTCGCTGTTCCTCACACAAATAAGCATTCCGATAACTATATGTAATTTCTTTGCCTTGTTGTGCAATACTCGGAATGCACACAATTTAAAAAATTATTTATAGTTTTATATGTATAGATGCACTTTCTAGAAAAATATGTACATATATACACATACTTTCTAGAAAAAGATTGATTTTATCTATATTTTTATTTTTTTTACTCGCACGTATTTAAAAAATACATTTTAGTTTGCAATACATATTCACGCGTACGTATGTATATTCTTCTTATTTATAATATTTGCAAATATTGCTCCATTTGCAAATATATTGCTACATAATAGAAAATACAACTATTTAACATTACTGTCTTTCAAACTGTCATCTGTAATAAAATATAGCAACTTATTTATAAAATATTGTCTTTGTAAAAGATATATATATATATATGTAGTAACTTGTTTTTAATCATAAATATAAAAAACAACAAATATAATTTCAAGTTATCAAGATTAAGTTTTATAAAACTACTCTATAAAAACTTTTCTTTTACGGTAATTTCTAATAATCAAATCTCCTAGCGAGACATCTAATTCTATATTCTGTTGTGCTATATAATAATTCATATATATGTAAAAACAGGTTTATAACTGCAATTAATTTTATTTATTATTACTATTCACATTCAATATTGTAATGATTCGAATCTTCAAATCAAAAAAATGAAGATTCTGAAAAGAAAAAAAACAAAATCGCATATATAAAAGTTGCTTTACATCAATAAATTACAATGTATTATGTATCCGTATGTAAAACATGTAAACGATGAAGTATTATACAGGCTGTATTTCAATATTCACTGCCAGTACTGGAAATCTATAACACATGTGACGTGACGTATAGACTTTTAGTACTGGCAGTGAATATCGGAACATAGCCACAGTTTTATCTAATGTACGATCTGAAATATGTAATTATCAGCCTCTCTCTTCAAAACGGCAAAAACAGGCAGAACGGTTGATACAACCAAGTAAGAAATGCTTCTTTATGCAAGAATAAGTAAAAAAATGTAGAATTACACAAAGGATCATTTCTTTCCAAATTGTATAACTGCAGCATCCTGTATATAGTTATTTTATCATAAACGACATGTAGAAAGCTATATATATATACATAAAAGTAGATTGTAACTCGACAGAAAATCGTATGGTTTCAGACACGGCGCTTTATTATTGTAATGATACTATACGTTTCGATTCTTGTTACTCTTAGTAGTTATTAACAAGTTGGACCCGGTGACAAGGCGCCTGGGTCGTGCCAATTTCTATCTACTTAAAGCTGAACTCTGGCTGGCACGCTCCAATTTTTCAAAGTGTTTTCGCGCATTGCGTATGTTGATCAATGTTGCTGCAGATGCTGAAAAAGCATACATTTATATATTAGTAATTTTCAGACATGATACACAAAGTATACTTACGTATTGTTGGATCCGACATGATGACCATCACATATGTATTTGAAGTAAAAATATCGATAAATGCTGCAAAATTGGTATTTCTAACTTCCATACTTTGAAACTGCGCTGCTAACTTACTAAAAAATTAATAATTTTTAATTATAATATTTTGTATCCGGTATTAAATGTACTTTTTCTGTACGTTTACCTGCAACTCAATTTAAATTGCTTTATTATATTAGACACTTTCTCGAAGCGATGAACATCTCTGTGAAACTGCCGCTGACAATGGCTTATTACTAAGAAGGTTGCTCTTTCGAACAAAAGAACTTCATCAGCATCAATAATATTAGCAAACTGATTCAAGCTTTGCTCAAGTTCTTTTACATTAGGAATCAACATATATACAATAGATGACCATGCTCTGTAATAACAATGCTTGTTCAATACTTTTCTAATCAGGTTATATATTTAAAGTATCTAACTGTGTAATATGCACCTATATAATGTTTCGTCCCATATACTAGTTCTAAAACATGTGCATTCAAGAGGTAAACTCAGTCTTTTCAGATCTTCCTCTCTTTCCCTGAATATGTAGTCACGTTGGTCTTCTTGTACAAGATCCATTTTATGAACAAGGCAAAATATCTTTGCCTCTGGACTATTTTGCAATATTGCTTCCAAACAGCTTTGATAATAGTGCATGTCTTTATCTAATTCTCTTGATTCCACATCAAAGACATAAATCAGCACCTCTACATTTCTAAATATATTGTCACGTTGTGATGCAAAGTAATTCTCCATAAAAGCTTCCTGACCTCCGCAATCCCACAAATTTAGTACCAAATTGCCAAGAAAGCGAACATGAGAATGTTCTACATCAACTGTGACAATTTATATTAGTAAATTCAATGAACTTTTTTTTATAATTATCTAACTGATAATGTTATTTAAAGGATTTCTAGTCTATAAATGTAAAACAATTCTCTTGAGAATTTAAGAGACTTTAGGTTTTTTTCAAAATTACCTGTGAGTATTATTATTTAGTTAATCTAATATACATGTAGCTTACTTGTTGCACCTAAACGATGAGTATCTCGAGCAATATAGTTTGCAAAAATAATGCTACGCATACTTGTTTTGCCGGATCCACTTTTGCCCATTAATAGCACCTGAGAATACAATATTTATTTATATACATAACTACTTAGTAGTACTATTATTAACTCTTCACCACTATCTTTAGTTTTAATGTTTTATACATGTATATATATATATATATATATATGTAGGTAACCCTCATATAATGCGATATATAAAGCGATTTCAATATAACACGGTTTACAACTTGTAATAAACTGCCATGCAGAAGCGCGCATATTGAAAACACAATTTTAATACACTTTGTAAACCGCGTTGTACCGAAATCGCGTTCTTTAAGTACCGCGTTATACGAGGGTTACTTGTACACCTTAGAAATAAAAAAGACTAAAATTCTGCGATGCACCCCTATGTACCATAAAGATTTAATGTTTACCTTTTTCAAAATTTTATTTTTACCTTTTTCTTCATCTTTAATATGAATTCGTTTCGATGATTTTAAGAAACTGGAAATATTTCTCAATATCGTCAGTTTGACAATGTCAGGTTTATCAAACGTGTGTTCTAATTTCCACTTATGGAAGAACTATAACTTGATCCAATTGTGTGTATCACTAGAGAGAAGGGTCACAAACTAGAATATCTGATATAAAATACAGTTATTTGATATAAAACGCGAAATATATCACATTAAATAATTATACGTATAAATAATACGTAGTGACAACCTTGATATAAAATTAATTTACTATGATTCGAATTTACACATCCAAAATGGCGAGAAGTAGTTCGTATTAAAACTACAGCTTGACCTTTCGATTTATTTGTGATCATTTCTGATAAACATCTTTGTCTGTTTTTATTTGATGTTTTATCCACTAGGGGATCTATATTTTGCCAGAGAGAAGTCTGCGGCCCGAATTAATAGTCGCTTCTCAAATCTTAGATCTCGTTTTCAATCTCAAAATTCAGCTCGCAGGTCTCGAATCTCCAACCTCAACTTTCAATGCAGTGGTCAATCATAAAACTCGGTGTTTCATGACTAAGTAGAGATCAGAGAGAAACCTGAGAGCGGCCATCCTATTGTAATTTTTTACGACGGTTTCAGCCGCTGGTTTTAGCCGTATTTCCACAAAAGTGGAACTCAAAGGCCGTTCTACATTAAACGCAAGTCGCAGATCTCGTGGAATTGGGTGCGTTCAGACAACTCAACAGTTGAGAGATCGTCACTTATGATAGGACTATTCTTCAAAATTTGATGCGGTTCCAAAAGTATGATCCAATCAGAAGTGATTATCTCTCAACCGTTGTGCAACTGTTGAGTTGTCTGAACGCACCCAATGACCAATTGCAGAGTCAAATCAGCCAATCGACCAGCGTGATTGGTCAATTCTACGAGATCTGTTCCTTGCGTTTGCGATCAATGTAGAACGGGCTTAAAACATCCTCGACCTGCGCATAGAGAAAGCAAAGCGGGCAAAGTGGTGATAGCGTTGCGCGCGGGATAGCTGCGGTCTTGCCGAAGAGTGGGATAATGAGGAGAGAGTTAAGTTTTGAAGGATAAGATTGTGGTTCGAACTGGTTCAATTATGAGAAATTCTTCTAGTGCGACGATAGCGAAGCACAACAAGTAAGAAAATGCACTGCATCATAACAATTTATTGTACTTTATTATTACATTTACAGAACATAGGTCTCTCTTCTCTTGTAAATTCAAGTATAAAAAAAGCAGATGACAATAACATTTTCCTTTTCATAATAAGTGTATATGAAACAAGAGGTAATACGTCTCTTTGAATAAGTAATAACTGCCTTGTTATATATATATACACCTTGTTTAACACGCAATACACGTCCTTTTAACGCCGCTCTAGAGCACTACTATAACTATTATACTAGCCAAGATATATTTTCATGAGGTTTTTTTGGGCCTGATATACATGCTATATAGAATATATATATATATCTTTTTATCATCTCACGAAAAAAGCGTATTATTTTATAAGATTTGTGGCGCTTAAAGCATAAAATTTTTCGTAAAACAATACACGCGATAGTAAATATTTTTCTAAAGCTACGTTCCGTTTCATGCATATGCGCGCACATTTGTCTATACTATACGTTACGTGTACTATAGATAAATGCGCGCATATGCGTGAAACGGAACGTACTCTAAAACTGTTAAGTTCTTCTGCTTTGTTTTTTTTTTTAATTTTATATATACGTGCGTTTGTGTCGTGTATCCGATAAAAACTCTAGTAAGCAACAAAAACTATAAATTTTTAAAAAACCAAATAAACTTCACGATGATATAACACGCTCTTTATAAACTGCTAAAATTTTGATAAGTATTATTGCTAGACTAATTTTTCAATTCAGTCGATTCAATTAGCTAATTTAAATTGCATGTGTTAAAACGTACGTGTTGTTTTCGACACACAAAATAAATACTCTTTTAACTATATCAGATGCAAAATTATGCTCTTTTCGGCTAAATTGCACGTTCATCACATAAGTTACAGTTTACAATAACATTCGTACGTCTAGTAACGTAACTAGAATTATATAATATCAACTATACATATATATGATATTTAATTATTACGTGAAGGAAGATATAGACTTTTTGCGATTATATATAATTATATATATATATATATATTCCTATTGGGAGAGAAAGACATTAGGAAAATACCTGTAAAGAGAAAAAAATAATCTGCTATTATGACGCGATATGTTTTACCGAGCCATTCGCTGATAATTTATCTCTTTTCTATCGCCTATATCCTTTCTTCTCTTTCTCGCCAAGAATATATGACAATACTTTTCTGTTATATATAATGCCTCTATACCTATACGATGTCACAAAACCAACGAAAGCTTTTTTTAACATCAGATTCTTTAGCTAAGTGAGAGTCTTGATTGTTTTTCCGTAGCAAAGATATCGAAATGCTAATCCTGAGATATGGACAAGAGAAGAGCTCTGTTTTGTAAATCATTCTAGAGAAAAGAAGAATCAAACGTGGAAAACAAAACCAAACTTAAAATAAACGCACGGAAACTAATTCACAGTTTTGCTTTTATTCGTTAACTTTTTCCGGCGATCGACATGCGATTGACAATTTATTTACGTTATGATATAATTTACTTAAGCTCGGCATTTCGATGATTATCGAAAAATATAAACGATCGAAACGTCCGAATATTATTAGAGTTGAAGAGTTTTATTCACCTACAATCCATACAACAATCACGAACAACCGTGAATTAACTCCGTTCGTTTATTAATTATTGTAGATATGAAAATATTCAAGTGTAAAAGAAATTGAAGAAGGTAACAAAAATTTTTGATATTGTTTTGTTAAGAAAGAAATCAATTACATGATGATTGGCCAAAGAATCATTGGATTTTCGTTGATTGAGGCATCACGTATATAGTAACAAAGGCTTATTTTCCAAAACCAGTCTTATAATTGCTGTCTGGAAGCATATGCTTTCATAACGACTAAAAAAGTTATACAAGGCAAATTTTTTTTATCTAACACTTTTACATCTTCACTCATAAATATACTTGCGGAAATACAGGTTGTATTTCAAAAAATCGTGATACAAGCAAAAAATGAATGAAAATAATTTTCCTCGTGCAACATTTTTTTCATGTATCAGGTAGAATAAAATTTTTTTCGTGTGAGTTTGAGTTTTTCGAGAAAATTGATTCAAAAGATTGAAATACTGATATGGTATTTTTACTTTACTTCTCTTTTTTTAAAGCTCTTTTCTCGAAAACAAAAACTACATATAAAAATATCTTATTGTACACTTTCGACACACGTTTCTGCGAGGAATTATTTTTTTTCTCTTAATTAAGTAATACGATTTTTTTATACACCGTGTATCAATTAAAAACTATGGAATGTTTTACGGAAAATTTTATCTTTGCATAAATTTTCCGTAAAATTGATAGTTTTACGAAAAATATTAGTTATGTAATAATGTTATAGGACTCAGTCTGTATACATATACAGGGTGTCCGACAATTACTTTAACATCTCTCGTAGGCAGGTAGAAGAAGTAAAACTGAGTCGAAAAGTCCTGGACCATTTTTTTCTATTACATATAATAAAAAAGTAATTGTTGAATAAATCAAGCCAATCAGCGCCGACCTTTAGCCGGGCTCACTTTTCGACTCAGTTTTACTCCTTCTATCTGCCTACGAGAGATGTTAAAGTAATTGTCGGACACCCTGTATATACTGTTGCTACAATTTACTAATTTTTTTTCTGCTATCTCTAGCTGCTGCGATTTGTAAAAAAAGATACAAACCATAATGAATTATATATGGATCTGTTAAATTCGTTTAGATTCTCGAACAAACTCTCGTTTGTTTTTCGATTTTTTGAAGTGATGTCTTAACTAGTTCCGTACTTGCCACTCTCAAACATACCGCGCTTGAAGAACGGACTAAACTCTATTAGAGATTGCTTATCTATGTTGCTAAGATTGCCGTTGTATTTGTATAAAGGCTCACAGTGTGGCAGCTCCGAGCAAACTTGAATTAATCGACGAAGGTATTCCTCGAGGCGTTTTCGACGTTGCCTCGCTACGATCTCGTATTTTGGAAAAACTTGGCGTGGGGGAAAGCGTATTCCTGCGACCTGTGTATACGATCAAAGAGATAATCCTTGTGTAAAATCAGAAATTTATATTGCGACTATTTAAACGCAATTATAAAAGTGGCCTCTAAAGCCTTTTCATAATTTCATTGTCATATCGTATAGCTATGGAAACCTGCAGAACATGTGTAACTCTTTGATTTTGCTAAATGTTTGTAGATGTAGAATAAGGCAAAACAGAAGTATTAAAAAACATTGAATTGAGAGAGATTTGCACATTTTATCATTTGGTTCTTCAATAAGTTGAAAGATATTTAAAATGTTATTTATATTTTTACAGGTGCAAATAGATTTTTTAAGTTTGATTCTAACCAGTGTCCAAACTGTTCTAATAAACATCAATCGAGATTTACTCTTTGTCTGATTTTCCTTACACGCAAAAATTTAGTGAAATCGAAAGATTGCACATGTAGCCCCCCCGTTTTGTAAGCGGTAACATACCTTGCTACCGTACTTTTGTCGCATCGATATATACAATTCCCGAAATCTCCTGTATCTACGCAGCAGTGTCCAGCTATCATCCTGCGCCACGACTCGCACTTCGTATTCGTAGTGGCTGGATGTGCCAGCCCCGCGTATCACGAACGACGGTACACTGACAATCATGTTGATCACGTTATTGCAGTCGCCGTCAGTCGCTATCAACGACGGTAGAGATCTTGTAATTGTTAAGGAATACGGACTACTCAAGCGGTCGCCGCGATTTTGGCTCTGCACAACAAATCTGTGTTAAAATCAATTGGATTGGACGAGGACGAGGAAGGATACGCCGGTAGGTAACTTACCGTCAAATAAACTGTCGAGTAACCACGACTGGAAGATCTCTTAGATGCTAACGATTTTGACAAAGTCTCTTGATCATTAGTATTAGGCCTGTTATTCCTGAAAAGTTGAGATTTGGTTTGCGCTACTGTCAACAGAATGGCAGAGCTATTATTCGTAGATTCTACAACACTACAGTAAGCATTAGGTTCGTTCTGTACATAGTCCTCTTTCTCGTTGGTGACAAGCTCACTGTCATCAGCGCCGTCGCAGTTGCCGCTGTCATTGCCGCATTGGACTTGCCTGCTGGAAAAATTCTTCCGTTCGTCCTCCAACAAAGAGACTTCCAACTCAATCTGTTGCCTCTGCAAATCCTGCAGTATCATTATCTGTCGATTGAGATCCTCTTTTGACGGACTGCCGGAATCCAAACATCTCATCACCATTATCCGTTGATGCGCGATTCTTTGGTTTAATTTCTTCATTGCCGGATTTTGTTGTATCGGTGAATCCAGCGAATCCTGAAGCATGCTCTCCGAAATAATGGACATCGTCGGAGATTTTATCTTTTTGTCGTCCTCGTTCATTGATTCCACTCTCGTTTCTTCGAGAATGGTTTTATTGATATTTGTCTTATTTTTATTTTCTATTTCAGATAACTTTTTGTCATCGTACGTTAAACGTTGATCATCGTCGCTTTCTTTCCGTTCTTCCAAGTTTACAGATTTGTTTTTTGGAGAATCACTCATTTGTGCCGTATTGGCATCCTCAAAGGCTAGATGAGGTTCAGGAGAATCAGCCGCAGCAGTGTGAAACGTTTCTATGGTATCAGAACTCGGTATACTCTGCGGCAATAATGTTGAAGCGATTTGGAACTTCCTATTATTGAACTCCTGAAAAAATTTGGAATCGCAGCTGAAAGCCGTTTCCTCGCAACTGTTTGACGCGTCATCATCGCAAGAAGACCCAGGTGCGACACGTTTCAGATCCAGCGACAAACTTTGTTTTCGCCGTACGATCTCCTGAAGTTGTTCCTGAGTTCGTTTAGCTAGCCATAACTTCTTCTCCGTTACTCCCTCATTATCCAGCTAAAAATTAGTAACATGAGAGCATTTATTTCTCACTGCAATATTCATATTTTACGCGTACGTACTTCTAACTTAAATATCTGCTTCTGTTTCTTTGCGATTTCCATCAGTTCTTCTTCCATCTTGTCTACTTTGGTCTGATGTTCGTTCAGAGACCTGACTTTATTCTGTAGCTCGCTTTCCAAAGCAGCTAATTCTTTTTTCTATTCGAGAAAATTATTTATATTTCAGAAAAAAAACGATCAAATCACACTTGAAAAAAAAAAAAAAAAAAAAAAAGAAAACATTTAAATCTACTTACATGATGATTAACCAATTCTCTGACATCATCAATGCATTTTTCGTCGTTAAGACTGGACCACGATTCGAGTAGACTATCATCGCTACTGGCACCGTTGTCTGTCTGAAAGATATATTACTTTGTTTTCTACAAAACATTACATTAAACTGCGAGAGAAAGAAAAAGAGACAGAATACTCTCAAAAAAGATTACGTATAACTGAGAGATAAAATATAAGAGATAACTTTTACATTTCTTATTACGACAGATACATTTTTTTTACATTTACGCGCGCGTATCTGTACAAGATAATTGACATTATCATGTCACTATTAATAACTAAGAAGTATCGTTAAAAAAAAATGCTTTTTTTGTCTGCACCGTGTATGGGCTATTATGGAAGTTGTGTGGAGAGTGAGAATGTCATATTGCATTGCACATAATATACATGCACAAATACGAAATTGAAGTGTTCAACTGTAACATTGTAATCCTTACCTTCCGCTGATGCTGATAAATTTGTGCGTATTCATATTTTCTGATAAGTTCTTGTAACTGTTGATGCTTGGACTGCAATAATGCGCGCAGATAGGCGACTTCCTTATTCATATTTTTTACCTAGTTACCATATACACCGATGCATTAACAAAAAAGATAATTAACAAAAAAGAATGAGTATGACGCAGAATAAAGTTTATATAAAATATTATACAGCTACTAAAAATGGATGATGATAAAACAAGCGTTTTTTGTGTGCTCGTTGGATTGTTCGAAAAAAAGTCTTTTATGATAATAATTGTACATTGTATATATAAGCACAAGCTATTTTTAATGACAGCATATTAATGTAATAATATTATGTTATTGAGACTAATTTCATCTTTGTGCACATTTTCTAGCAAAAAAGGCTTTATCAAATAAAAATATACATTACGAAAAAATCTAAATGAATAATTAAATTAGTGAAAATAAATATACATAATAAATTCTGTCGCGATACATTACCTCATGAAAGTGATACAAGATTTCCTCATCATTTTCTAACTAAATATTGGAATGGTGCACATGCACATCGAATCTCGAGATGTGACAACAATGAGAAGAACGAGAAATTGGGTTTGTTAATCGGGAGTGTTAAATCAATCGAGTGCATACTTTTTACAAATTATGTGAAATAACAGAGTGAAAAAGGTGAGAGTGCGTGCAAATATTTGATGGAGGATCAAACGCCAATTTTCATATGAAAAATTTATTAATCAACAATATTTCAGTATAACAATAATTAATTACTCTATATCTTTACATCTCGCATAACAAACCCATAGACATATTTCTATACAAACAAGCTAGGATATGTACATATCGGTTTTAACATTCTTTAGTAGTTACTTAAAGTATATAACATTCCAGGAATGCTATTTGTCGGGCAATATCTTCTCAACACTACTTTGTTTTTTTTTTTTTTGTTTTTTTTTTGTTTTTTTTTTTGTGCAATCAGCAATTTATACTCACATACATTTACGGATAAATACACAGCTGGTTAACATAAACAATCTCTACGTATTAATGTGTTACATGTGTGTGAAAGTAAAAACGCAATACTTGAGTTCTTCTGAGACTGATAGAGGAATCAAAAATCTCACATAATCTCATATAAAATCTCATGTAGACAATCTTGTTAGAAGTAAAAGAGACTTGTCTTAGATAACGATAGAGAAATCGTCAAACTTACACGTATTATACACGATTATATTACCAATAAGTAGTGTCATTAGTCTTACAAAAATTTTCTTGAAATATTTCGTTAAGAGCTACTTCTTATAATTGAAACACTCGGAGGTGATTGTCTACAAGTTGTGGTATGAATAACTCACCCGAACCAAGATTGGAACTTGACTGATATATATACATATATATCGGGATATTACATATTCAAAGGACAAACGTGCGAGTAGACGATGATGTTGCCAGACAAGCAAATAAGGACACCGATAGCGACAAGGACGAGGTAAAATTGGTACTTGATCGAGATTACATTCAAGTCCGGAGACGGAGGTGCGTCCGAGTCACTTACTTGCGTCATTTCGTCCCGTCGCTCTTGCTCCAATATATGCCGTCGCGCACGTAGCTCTCGTTGACGTGTCTCAAGAGCCGCGATCGCGTCTGCCCATTCTTTCCATTGCGCACCCCATTCGCGTTCTAACTCGCGTTGTGCTCCTTCCAACGCTTCTCTCCTCGCGGCCCACCTTTCCTCGCGTTCCTCTTGTTCTCTCTGTAAAGGGATATAGTTATCCAAAACTTCGTTCCACGAGAATAACAAAATAACAAGCAAACAAACTGTACTCGCGAACCTTGAAGTCTTCTTTTTCCTTCAAAAGCGCAGCCTTTTGCTGTTCGAGCTCTTCGACCGCCCTGAGATCTTCATTTGAATTTAAGAGATTATCGCTCGAGCAGGATACATGCAGATCGGAGACACTCCAACTCAAAAGTGATAATCTCGACAGATTGACGACCGTCGACTGGAGATTGCCGTTGCCTGAGCCACCCTCCTTCCGGAGTTTTGCCGCTTCAACAGGATCATTATATCGAAACATGTTGTTTCGACCCAGGAGGATAATGCAACCTTGCGATAGTCTCGTAGGCTTGTCTACTTGAGCTGTGTTAATCCAGCAATGGGATGAGAGCGGATGCAGCGTAGCGACACCGCAATTCAATTCGACTATACAGTGTTCCGGTTCCACATCCGCACCCGTCAATACAATATCCTATTTGAACAAGCATTTTTATCATATATTTTGTCACTAATATAATTAACTATATCTATTTAAACCTCTTTGAAAATTTAACCAATATTACTTGGACAACAGAAGCTTCCTCTGTGCCAACTAAGGTTTTCCCTTCTTTCAAATGATACAATGTGACGCCAGTACTGAGCAAATCGTCATCAATACCGACTAAATGCGGCATTTCTGAGTCGAGAACGACGCCAACTCCACTCTTTCGCAACCCCAACGCTTTTTGCTCTTGCAAAATTTGTTGCGTCTCTCGCCATTTCTCAGTCCATTCCTCGGTCAGTACTTTCTCCTGTTCTTGCTTCTCTTGAATTTGTGCTAGTAACACTTGCGGAGGCTTTTCTATACTCTATACATAATAAATAAATACACAAAACTTAACAATAAATAAATACTATTACTTTTTTGTTTCTTTCAACAAGTATTTTTTCTAAAAATAATAAATTTTTGTGAAAAATATATTTTGAGTATTTACCATATTCTTGTCAATAAGAGACTTCAATTTCTCTATCTCTGCCCTGAGCTCTCTGATAAGTTTCACATTTGCATCTTCGTTGATAGTCGGCTTGTTAATAATGTTTTTCGCACGATTGGCGTATCTAAGAGTGCTGAGAGTATCGTTGTAATTACATTCCGCCGGGCTGATAGTCGCTATCATGATAGTCTTGGAATTGCCGCCAAGTGAATCCTTCAAGAGCCATGTGAGCACGCTGTCTCGATAAGGAATAAATGCGTTACGTTTCGAGGCTGATGTGTCACCATTAGCAGAACTCAATTCCGAAAGTGTGGATATCACAGTGCCTAAAGTCACTAAGGACTTGTTTATGTGAGCGCCTTCTTTCAGTCGTTGACCTGTTGCTCCGGTGGCATTCGCACGCTCACTAGAGAGAAAGAGAGAGAGAAACAAAGAATTGATTTTACGGATAATCTTAAGAACCCAAATGTTGCTGTGTGTATTGCTTTTGTTTGTTTTTTCTGTTTCATTTTATTTGTTTTTTTTATATGCTATTTTGTTACATGTTCAAAACTAATTTGTCTTGCAAATGTTTGTTTGTTTTAGATTTACCTTCCAGCCAAGTCGACAAGATGTACCTTGGAAACAGTCTCCGATGGCATGTTACCTTCCGAAAGACCAGCTTGTACAAAGGTTATTGTAAAAATCGCATGACTTCTGCTACTCACATCGTTCATTTTTGTGCTGGCTGTAGTTCTGTGCGTATTACCTCTTACCATGCATTCCTGAAATATTAATTCTTTCTTGATGTAATTGTAACATGATTGCAATTATTTGTGTATAATAAGATACTCGCGCGCAAATTTTATTTTTTAAATTATTTTATATGTAAGATTTACAATGATAAGATTGATTTGTTGTGCTAATTTTATATTATTTTATTGTTTATGGAATCTTTTATAATTGCGCTATAAAATTGCAAAAATAAGTCCAACATGAACACTGAGACACTGAGTGTTGCAAATAACGAATTACAGATATACAATAGTAGTTTGCGGTAAAAATTGTTTAATTATTCCAATAAGATGAACTTTATTTATCTATCATTTGTCAATTTATTTGGACATCGAAACTTCCCAGATAGCCAACTGAGCGCAAGTTGTTGGCAACTTGTCACAAATATTACTCATATGTTTTCAGCAAAAGAGTGTATCCTCTTTTCAGTATGTTCTTGCCAACAACACAGTTTTCAAAATATAATAACAGCAAGTTCTCAACAACTCATCGGCAACAAACTTATATTATTTTTCTCAACTTATGAATAAAACTTATTGCTCATATATTGCTCACATATATTGCTGACTCACATGTTCTAAACATTGGCGCTACAACAATTGATTGATAATAAAACTCAGCATATTGATACTGAATTGACAAAAACATTTTCGTTGCGTTAAATAAAAACAACACGACAGCAATTGGCGAGCAACTTAATCTATACAATGATTTGCTTTATATTGAGTTTTCACATTTGGCTATCTGGGTTTAATCTTTCGCGAGAAATCGGTATGTCATATATATTTGACGCGAGGTGAATAAAATTAATGACTTTTTTATTGATTTTTACCTGAATATCCGCATAATCGTAAACAAGATGACATGATAGATCTTGAACGTAGGGTCCTCCCGTAGGATGTTCCCGCACCCTTAAGGAATGAGATTGATTTTGGTCCAGTCTAAGCAGATCTCTTACTCTCTCGTTATAAATTTCTAAGAAAGATACTTCCGTTCTGTACGACGCGCCGCTTTCCTTTCCAGCTGCCATTCTAGCGAAAAGCGTCTTGCAGATCCGTGGTATCAATCCCTGAGATTCCTGTGAGATACATACACGTGTACATGATAAAAACTCTAAAGAGAACAATAAAAAATAAAGTGTGCATTTGATTCAAGGAAATGCTCTGGCGCAAACATTCTTTTTTTTATTTTATTTATATACTATATATATCAAGGTTGATTGTGAAAAACGAATATTGTGAACATAATGACCGTAACTATCGCATTACCGGTGTGCCCATCATTGTAAAAGTCTTGCCGGATCCTGTCTGGCCGTAGGCAAAAACGCAGGCATTGTAACCCTCGAAGGCACTTTCTATTACGTCCGTACCAAGATCGTAAAAAACCTATATATAAAGAGAGAATAATTGAATTAATGCTTTTTTTTTTTTTTATTATGATTTCTTATCGGTCAATGTTTTTCGTCACGTGAAATCTCACTGTAAGATTCCTGCGTATTTCTTGCGGTCATATTAAAATCATGACGTCACACACGAGAATAACTCATATATGAAATCATGCAATTTTTACATCAAAAATAATTTACAGGTTTCTTTTACGTGCTACAATCTGTTAGATTTCGGTATAGTATTGTATCGCGTTATTTCATTTATTTTCAAGGTTGACGCAGTCTTGCGTTTCATAGCGCGCAAAAAAACTTGGAATAAATATTATTTTTATCTTAATTAGGCTGAAAATAATAAGAGTGACGCATACCTCTTCCTGAGACGCATAATTTTCATCATTTGGATCGAAAGACCAGTAGGAGTGATCGAACGTAAAGTCTTTGTACTTCCCCCGGTCAACATCTCTGCAACTGTCCGGCGTCTGTAAATAATAAATATCGATCCAGCAATTTAATTTTTATTGTTGGTGCTCAATTTTCACAATTATCGTTAATTAAATTTGTACACATAACTACCTAAACATAGTAACGTGAACTAATTTTATTTATTTTCATAAGATAAGAGACAATGATGTGATGTTTCTCCGCACGCGAACACAATCAGCGGCTAAATTTAACGTGGAAGTATAAGTGAATTGTAATTGCAAAGCAATTAGTATATACGTTTTTAAAAGAGAAAGAAAGAGAGAGAAAAAATTTATAGCGAGAAATATTTCTTCACAAATTGTTTCTGTAACTCCAAGAAAAGCACTTTGGGTTTTGAATGTGATACAAAAAATAACAAACGCACTTTTGTAAGCGCGAGTTGTCGTTTTTAAACCTATTGAGAATTCAATCGGTTTTACCGCTATCGAGAAACGTGAAAAAACATAAGTTCCTGTTAATTAAGTCCGTTCGTATAACAAGATCACGGTTCATTTCACTGTTACGCGTAAACCTGGACGCGAGACGGAAATGTATTTCTCGATTATGCGCGACGTCTTCATTAATATGAAAGCGCAAAATAAGCGTTGCACGGACGACTAAAAATGAAACGAGCAATAAGGAGCAACTACCCAGATAGCCAAATGTGAAAACTCAATATAAAGCAAATCATTGTATAGATTAAGTTGCTCGCCAATTGCTGTTGTGTTGTTTTTATTTAACGCAACGAAAATGTTTTTGTCAATTCAGTATCAATATATGCTGAGTTTTATTATCAATCAATTGTTGTAGCGCCAATGTTTAGGACATGTGAGTCAGCAATATATGTGAGCAATATATGAGCAATAAGTTTTATTCATAAGTTGAGAAAAATAATATAAGTTTATTGCCGATGAGTTGTTGAGAACTTGCTGTTATTATATTTTGAAAACTGTGTTGTTGGCAAAAACATACTGAAAAGAGGATACACTCTTTTGCTGAAAACATATGAGTAATATTTGTGGCAAGTTGCCAACAACTTGCACTCAGTTGGCTATCTGGGTAATTAATATTCTATTGGAAAAACAGAGATAAACAAGGCGTAAATGCTCACCTTAGCGTTAAAGATTCGTGTCTTCTTGCTGTCCATCTGTACGATCAACTTTTCATTCATCGCCACTTCCCTGCAAAGCAAACAACACAAACGCATGCTGTTATGCGGCATTAATTTTTTTTTTTTCAATATTGCAACGATAATAATAATTGTTGTCCGAAACTGAACTTTGAAATCCCGCGAATCGGGATGCACGCTCATTGTTCAACGCCCGTGTAACACGCGCTAGTCAATATTACGATGACATAATTGTGTCATCTGCCATTGCTAAACATCTGTCGATATTACAAGGGTTTGTTTTAGAGCGGTCGCTTTTCCAACTTTTGTGTACGGGTGACAAAACAATTAAATCAGTGTCTCACGCACACCTTCTAAAAAGAGGATTAATTGAAAATTCTCATATTCTTCGAAAAACACCAAAATTTATTTTGACGTTATTAATACAACTGTAAAAAATGGTTTTCTTATTCCGGATTTAGATGTTATTTAATATATTCTCAATTTTCTCTAGCCACACAAACCGAATCAGAATGTACATTGCTTAATTTTGTTTTTGCAACAATAACGAGCAAGAAAACAAATCATCTTGATAATGAAGTTTACGATCGAATAAATTTCGATTGTGTGCTGTCGCGCACGTGCATTGTTCGTTGCGTGTAATATTGTTGTATAATATTTAACGACACACAAATGTTATTCATATGTTTACGATCGATAACATTGCGACATATTAATTAACATTGCTAAATTTTAAATCAAAACATTTGTGTGCGAGATTTTACTGACTGAAGAGAATTATTCGATTATTAACTAACTTCGGTAAAAGTTTTAAAACACGGCAAAAAATATTCAACGGACCTAGACGGGATTTAGAAAGGTTGGAGCACACGCATATATATATATATATTAGACGTTTTGGAATTAAATTACACACTGATATCTTCTGTAATATTATTGCTCATGTTGACACAATACGCCACTAGTGATGTAATCTATATATGCCAATACCTCGCAAGGCAATACCTCGCTTGCAAAATTCATGTTAATGATTTAATCGGTTAACAGTCTCGTATGTTGCGCGTTCACGTATCCTTGTTGGCGTGCGTCAGTGCGCGTTTGTTAACATTTAACCGATCATGAAACGCCGACCTTGCCACACTGGTGTGTTATCCACGAAAAAAAAAATGGATTTTGCGTGTTACAGATATTGCAACGCGGCATTCCAACGCTGAAATTGTTGGAGCAGAGCAAGAGTGACAAGCAAGCGCAACGACGGTGGTGATGGTAATAATGGATAGTAGCACGAGTTTTGTTGTCGTTTTATGATAATACGACGAGGAAAAACATCGAGCTTTCTTTCATCACCAGTTGCTGCATGATGTATACACACATATTTACATACATATATGTAAACACACACACACACACCTCTTGTTGAAGGGTCGAACCCTCACGGCTACCTTCACCGAAGCCATGATTTCGCGAGAAACGCATCGGGCGCTGCCACCGTTTCCCACAAGGTGCACCTTCAGCACGCGACGATTCTAAATGTTACATGTAGCGTCGCAACGACGACGCTCCGGCGTCGCGTGCTCACGAAAGACGCTAGCGTCCTCGTCCTCGGGCCTCGAGCACGTCCAACATCACCAACGTCATCTCTCCTTTAGATGTACACTTGTGACTCACTGCGAACAACTACGACGGATCATTACGGCCGATCGCGAGTGACTGCAAGTGATTGTTCCTCGCTGTTGAGAGCTCAACCGAATCAAGCCGAGCTCTCTCAAGAAGCGCGCATGCGTAATTCTCTCACAATCCGATTACCAGCCAGCAATCATCTGTTCCAAGGTCGTCAAAAATGCCGGGTTTTTTTTTTAGGCATAATTTGCAATAATATATCTGTGTGTATATTGGCGTTAACAAACTATTTTTAAGTAATATTGAGCTTTTTAACTGATCGCAGTATTTGCGGGAACATCCGTGTAGGAAATTGTCCAGAAGATCGCACACATGTTAATATAAATTATTATACACTAGATTCTTATTTGGTTCTGCGCGAATATAAGTATATACTATATGCTAAGTAAAATATTACAAGTGTGCGATCCTCTGTGCTTTTGTTGAAGCAAAGACACGAGAGAGAAACTTATTAAATATTATTTTATTCGTCATTAACAGTCAATTTTTTCACTTCTAGATAAGTTTTCGATAACTTTATCTAGAAGATATCTTCCAAAATTGGTTCTCCTTATTGGTTCTCAGAGGAATTTATCCAGAGGATAGCTATCGAGATGTATGAAGAAATCGGCCGTAAATGATGAATAGTTTTGTAGGGAAAAAAAGTGCCTTACGCTCCCGGTAAAAAATTTTTCATATAAACTTATACACAAATTAAAATTATCATATCTAATTATGCAAATTTATATGCCGAATATGTTCATACAATTTTATACACGGAGAATTTCTTTTTTTAAGAGAATGGCTTCAGAGATATTCCACATCAAATTACAAAATAACTCTATTAGTATCATATTAGATACAAAAAAATTATATAAAACTATAGTTTTGCTATATTTTTAAAAAAGTTCTGATATATAAATCATATATATTTATACACAAATTAAAATTATTATATCTAATTATACAAATTTATATGCCGAATATGTGTCCATACAATTTTATACATGGAAAATTTTTTACCGGGCTCTTAGAATGAAATACTTTTTTCGAAGTTAATCCACCATAACTGTTACACAATGCGCGATCACGCACTTTGATTTATAACGAACCGATCGAATTAACATAAACGCGCTTGCATCGTATGAATCGCAGATTCCGTTTAAGTATATCTACTTCCGCAGGCTAAATATGGTTGCAAGATGATGGCGGATCTTGCGCATATATTATTGAGTCCTGTCGTTGACCGCGTAATTATAAATGTCGTCATTTACGCAACGCAATATATTATCATATAATAAAAATTAAATATAACTTTATAATTAACTTTACTGACTTTTTTTTTTTAATAAAAAGACACGAAAGCTAAAATCTTCAAGATTATGCTGATTGAGAAAAATACATTTTTATTGTAGTAAAAACAAAAAACTACCAACGTGATCAGCGCCATATGTGCAGGAACAATAAAAAATATGATGGAAAAATACTATACTTTTATAATAATTACAAGTAGGATTATAAATTGTTTCAAAACAAATCTGTGCGTGCACATATGTAATACCGAGATTTCAATGTGCTAACTGCTTGGTCTTGGAGAATCCGCACATGGTGCGTTAACAAGACACGTTCCAATTGCGGCTGCAGCTGGCTCGTCACGGAGACGGCAGATTATGAAAGTGTACACGTGTTGTGCGGTTATTGTGTAAACATATTTGATTTATCCGAGTATCCAATATTATATTTATATAAAGTTTCATATACCGCTCCCGATTAAATTAAATGACCAGATATTGATCAACTCGACTGATTCGAACTGTACTGCGCGATTGGTCGATTTCCACAATCGACTGACAAAGTTAATCGGGAAGAAAGTGGATTAAAAAAATTTGTAAATTTTTGACCTAGCACAAATACGAACCGAATAATTGTTAATTTTACCGACTTGTGAAAACGCGATGAGTTTGCTAGTCGTAGTAGTTCTGTTACTGTGGAGCGCAGTTGGCGCTGTGTGTCATTCGTGCGAGTCTGGCGCCAGATCGCGCGAGAGCACCACATTATTCGGTCTCCTTCTTTTCTTTGCTTGCCACTTCAATCGCACTGCTCCCGGAACGTAAGGGTGGTGTGTGCAGCAAAGAGTGGGGAACAGCGGGGAAGCAAAAGGTGGAAGGTAAGGGATCGGGATCGTGGATGCGTCAGTCGTGTAGTCGGAGTTGTTGGATGTGTTTGTTTATCCGCGTCGATATTATAATTTCGGTAATCGCGCATTGGCGAGTGGCTGGTGTTAGTGGTGCGGTGATGGTGATAGTGGTAATGCGGAAAAGGTGATACCCTATTGCCTTCGCCGCGCGCGATTCCCTTTTATAGTTTAGATTTATTTGAAGAAAATAGAAAAGCGATAGAGAGACAAACATGTGATTTTGACAGGGGGAAATTCCGGCGACATTTTTTTCCTGTCATTCTCCTGTCCTTGCGCGCCGACTTTTTATTTCGTTTTATACATACATAGATTTCTGTGTATTATGGTGTGTTTGTAATGTGTGTATGTATATGTGTGTGTGCGAGTGTATGTGCGTTTGTACATAAGCGAGTGGTGATACAGTGAGAGTTTTAGTTTTGTGTTGCTTTATCTCTTCTAGAATACACACAGAGGAGATACGCGGGATTGCTGCCTTCTTACTCACGCATCGAAGGGTTGCGCGCTGTTACCGTGAGGAATATATAATGTTCTGAAATTTGTGTGACGGGCTACACTGAGAGAGACGCGCATCATCAAAAATGGTCGTTAAGTACTTCGCATCGCAGGGTGAGTTTCTCCCAATTCGCGTTCTATTTCCTATTTCCCCTTTTGTTCCTCCCTCTGTTTAGACTCCGGAGTTTAACGACGGATATTTTTATCCGTCTGCACCCTAAAATTATCCCGCACACGTTTTACGCTGAAACGCGCGCGCGTATAAATTTTCCTTCGCCCGACGCCTTTTCGTAGACATGTCATCAAACAGCGCGGAGCGAGTGGTTGCTGCTGGGTGGTGCAGCTCAATCATAATAATAGATTCGCAACTTTGCGTTCTCTCCGTGTTTTTTCACCACGTTTTTTCTTACGATTGTTCATTTCTTCTTTTTCTTCTCTTTTATAAAAAAAAAAAAAAAAAATAGATGAGATTCTTTGCTTTCAGCAAAGAAGATGCGGAAGATTTGATGGCATTAAAATCTTCGGAGCACGTGATAATCCAGAAAGCGCAAGAAAATTGAAATATGTTTTAATGTTTCTTCTTTTTTTTTTTTTTTTCATCGCGTATAATAAAATTGCTAGTATTTTTTTTAACTTCGAATTTATCTCGACTTTTTTATTTGGTATGTTTTGTAAAAAGATTTATATCGAAAAATGTACGTATTTATCAAGTGCAATCGAGTTTTACTGATTACAATACATTATTGATTTGACAATTTAATTGTATTATAATTGCCGTGTAATTATGAATGAGAATATAATTGAAAAAATTCGAGACACGATTACGTTTCAAATCGAGATAAGATTACGCGCAACGGCAAGTTACACACACACACAATTCTGTGCGTACTAATTAAACAGATTTTACGATCTTGTGTGTGTGTGAGAACAGAGATATCGCGGTGCAAGGTTCAAGTAAATTTCACTTAATCCTTTCGCTTCCGGCCAGAGCCCCGGCCAAAAGTATAATCGCACACCACGAGCGCTCGCAAATGCTACTTCCAGCAGCAACAAGGCTACGGGTCTATTTACGAAAAAAAAAGTAACAAAATGCATGTTCCTATCAATAAACACGTCGACGCTGCCACTGTTGCTGATAGATTTTTACGTCGGTGGTGTGTTGCGCGAGTATAACCGCCCTTCATATCCAGAGATTGCAGTCACGGCGAAATGACTGTAGTTCGCTCTTTTAATAGCGAAAGAGTTTAAAAAGGAAACGTTTGCATTGTCATTATCGTCATTGTCGTCGGACACCGACCGTGTACAACGATGAGAACACAACATCGCATCGCGAAAGAACGAAATTCCCTCTTCTCTGCGTGTTCTCTTTCAGCCGTTTCACTCGGTTGACAGCTAGAGTTAGAGCAAAACGGCGCAATAGAAAGGGAACCGCCCTTCCCCTCACGCACAATGTGTAATAATATATATAATTTATATTATTTAGTTAATATATTATAATTATTTACAAAAAGTCGTCTACAAAAAATCGTCTATTTTTTATAGTATAGCATCGCGCGATGACTCGACTGGTTCATCGCCAGTTTTACGAGCGTGTGCAACTGTTTTTTAACGGTACAACAAAGAGCAAAACGCTTCGAGAAAACCAAAAAAATAATTAATCACTAAAAATAATAATTAATAACTGAACACTTCCAAACCAAAAAAAAAAAAAACTAATAAGCCACGTGGTCATTTTGTCTTCGACAAAATTATATCTCTATCATTTTTTATGTATAACTTCATGAATAATTTATATTATAAAGTGCTTAAATCGGGTTTCTTCAAAATGAACACGCTAATTCTGCATATAAGAAGATAATAAGCACGTGAACACATGCTACACGATTTAATTGTTTCATCACATGTCGTTTTAATGTACAAAGCTTATGAAATTAAATAAGATACATGTGTGAGTTTTTTTTTGTGTAGTTATATAGATACGGAACTTAAGTAAGTTTAAGAGTCTATTGACGATGCATACAGAGAATCGATTTGTGCCTCACTCTTGGCGGGGCCGCGCTGTGTGTGCGGTCACACACTCGGCATCGTTAAATACCTTTACTTCCGCTGGTTGGATTTTTTGATCAGATATGCGTGCGTGTCATATCTTGGATCTTCGTGCATCATAATGTTGAAATTGCGTCGAGTAACGATACTGTTTTCGAATGTTTTAATAAATATGTAAAAAAAGTGTTTTAATACTAAAACAATTAAAAGATATATACACAGTCATAAAGATAATGTTTGCATATTAATTGTGCGGGCAATAAAATATAGGATATTTTAGTAACTGCGGTATTATTATTAATATTTAATTTTAATAGTATTAGAATACTTCTTTTTTTGGATATTTTATTATAGTAATTACAACTTACACACACTAATATCTAGCCACGCGGTGTTTTCACAATAAATTTTTTATCAGAAAGTGTTTACACATCTCTCTATTATAGCGGAAATGAACACATTAACGCTGCGTAGTGTGCGAAACGCGCGCGATTCCCGCCAACTTGTTTTAATTCTACTCTTTCCCTTTCGTTTCTCTACGTATGGCATACTAATCGAAAGAACAGACGATACTCTCTCGTGATAACTTTAACGTTGTCATTACCGCTATGAGGCTTTCATGTGCGGCCGCGATGTGTGTTTGAATTTCAAGTTAGGAAATATCTCTCAAGAGTTTATAGCCACGTCTATATACACACAGTTGTGTGGTGAGAGAAACATCCGGCCGACTAAAGAAATAAATATATTTTGCGTGAAATCATAAAGTTGAACGAAAAGAGAGACTCAAAATGTATTTTTAACAAAATTTTAGTATAAACTTTATTGAAAAATAAATAAATAGAACATGCGGTTTAAAAAACAATGGCCGCATATGGCCGCATTCAACGAAACGCAACACAATTGCGCGACGGTTTGTAAGTTTTTTATGATTTTCCGCTGGCCGCTTCAGCAGAAACTTTTAATAGTTGAGAATATCGAAAACGGTCGGTTGCACAATGGTCGCGTCCTGCCAATAAAATGTGTCTATTTATTCCACTTCAAATGTGAAATATTAAGAAAGAGATTTTTTTGTTGCAAATTTTACATTGTTAAAAGTTCCAGTGCCAAGTTCTTGTAGTTTCAAGAAACGGATGTAGATCCGCTAGTCATAAAAAATTATAAAAAAACCGCATTGCTTTATCGCTGTATAGATACGCTTTATCGCCAGATAGAAGTAAGGAAGTAGCGAATATGCTCTTTGTGGTCGGAGTTGCAATTGTGTTGCAAAATTCTCTTTTCCACAGGAAATAGCGTAGTAACATTATTATGCCGTGTTATTTATTTATTATTATTATTTACATGTTTATAATTTTAATAAAGAGCGTCGTTTTCGAAATCATTTTATCTTATTGTCAGAAATTTTGTGTTTAAAATCAAATTCGAACTCAATTTATCAAAATCTTTTAAAAAATCATTTTTCTTCATTAGTGACAAAATTCTTACTAACCAGCGATGATTAAACTTATATGAGTATACAACAAAACAAAAAAGTCAATTTTATGAATTTGACAACAAAATCAATTTTATCTCACTGGCATCCTTTAAGATTAAAATATAGCAAGGCATCAAATCAAGGTCAGATATCTCTGAATCATTACTACCGTTATTACCAAAATATGTTTAGTAATTATCGGATATGCGCTTAATCATCGGAACAAGATATACTAGTGAAATTGGATATAAAGTGAAATTTTTTTCTAATAAAATCAAGAAATTGAAGAATCCGAGTCCACACACGCAATAACACGGAAAATTATTGTCATTCATTAATCATTAATCATCAAATTTCGCGAACCAACTGCACTGATTATACACCTTGATTCCCGTTATCCGTAACCTTACGGAAATTACGACACGGCAGCTGAACGGTGCAGGTGTGGCTGCAGGTGCGTATACGCGTTACACCTGCAGACCGCAAAATTTGCCACATGGACCACTATCAAACTGAGACCAAATGATTGATCGCGCACTTTGAGCACTTGTAAAAGCAAGCCGAATGTTCGAGACCGAATGTTACAACACGACATTGATTGGCAACATAAGGTGAAAACAATTTGCATCGGTGTTCGCCACACCAGCAAAAAACAGTGAAATAACATGTGTTATCAACAATGTTGCGTCCGTAAGACGCAGCTTTTAAAGAGAAAAAAAAACTTCACTTTCATGGAAATAAAACACGTGTCTCATTAAGAACAGTTTTCATAATAGAGATATATTTTTTAATGACACTTCCTAACAACGAATCGGTTTCGACGTGGGAAGAATTTTCTTCTTTCATGTCATTTCACTTAAGTGTTTATAATAAATTTCGAAAAATTGCATCATTAACAATGCACTTTGCATAAGAAGATTGGATGACGTTTATTTGAATCGACAGCGAACTACTTATAGACAGTACTTATGTGAATACAATTATATATTGAGTATATATTAAGAATTCATTAAAGATAGGTTCCCTATACTATTAGTAATGTATCAAGAATACTGCAATTTTCTTAAATCAATTTGCGATTCAAATGTTACTTTACTTTTACAGGCACAAGCCCTGAATATGGCGTGCCGGATATGACAATTATCAGCGACATCGACGAGACCGGCATCAATCGGAATCTTCAAGTTCGGTATTGCAGGGACCAAATATATGTATCCTTTGTGTTTTACTATTATATTATAAGCTTGTATCATTTATATATTCGACACGGAAAAAAAAATGTTCTCGCGTTATTATTTGATGAATATCCAAAATAGTAAAAAAACGCATGGAAAGAGAACATTTTCGGCGCCTAGTGCATAACAGAAAAAGTCACGCAATATATGGCCCGATGATAAAATCAAATAGTCAGACAGTGATCTCTGGTATGACGATCGTGTGTAAAGGTAAGATCACACGCTTACCTTTGGCATGACAGCCGCGTGCAACAGGTTAAAGAGAGGATCGTGTCTCCCATCAAATGTACACATGCAGCACCGGGTGGCGAGACGGACCGGATATATAGATCAGTATAAACTTGGCACACTTCGATTTCAAGATTAACAAACTTTATAACGTATTCGAAATTCTGTTTTGTTTTTGCCGCACTTTACGTCGGTCGTGTTCATCGAAATTTCGCATTTGTACTCTTTTTAATGCGTAACATAGAACTAACGGGAATAAAAAAAAAAAAAAAAAAAGACACAATGGCTCAACATTACGATAAACAAAGCGCGCTTTTACGCTTTAAAAAAACGACTGTGCAAAAAACACCTATAAATAATCACTCGTAACATTAAGAGAGACAGAACCTGTAGCTTTCGCGGGATGCGTATATATTTTGAGATTCTTTATCGGTTATCCACGATCAAGTTTCATTAACAAAAACTTACTAAGGTCAAGTTTAGATTCAAAATTTAGAGACGCGATAATTTGTTAAATTTAAAGACGATATCGCAGATCCAAAGTATACGCCAAAATTCCCAATTAAATTTTCCTTCGCTCTTTCATTGTAAAAACACGTTTGTTCAAATTGCAAAACTAATTAATTATAACGTGTCTCATATGTTTAATTATTTCGCGTCGCGTATATGACAATTAAATCATTTTCATAATGTTTAGACGTTGCAACTTGCGGCAACTCTTTCTGTCTCAAGTGAGCAGTTCACTTTACGCGCACGTTAATGGATTTTTTTTTCACGACTCTTTAGACACTTTTTCTCAACCGCGTCGCACGCGCGCGCGCGCGTGCGTCTCCGTTCTTATTTTATCACTTCCGGTAATAAAAATATACCTGGGTGATCGCCTTTTCCATTCTTCCGTTCCATTCTTGTTCCTGTTTCTGCGACGAGTGCAATTCAAGCCTAAGAGTGCTCCGTTAGCGAGGGAGAGTAATGAGGATGAACTACCCCTTCACACGTGAGTATCTGTGTCTGCACGGCACATGGAAAATATGCAGAGAAGAATGAAATGCACTTGGTTCATCGAACTTGACTCACTTTCCGCTATTATGAAAAGATATGCGTCTACACAATTTTTGTCTTTCAATTTGTTTTCAGCGAATCAGACGCGTTATTACATATTTAACTTGCTTTATCACACGTACAGAGATAGAGATTAGATTTTATATTCCAATAAAAAAAATAGCAAGTTTATGCATAAAATTAGTGAAAAAAGAAAACATGTTCTAAATGTGTGAATATTCAATTAATTTTATTCGATATTTTATTTTACGTTTTTTTTTTATCTTTATTACGTTAATGATTATTATTTCATTAGCTTTTTTATATGCAAACTCGTGGATTAGTGATAAATCAATGTCTGAAAATCGCTTTTTGTGTTCTTTATTTGTCGTCAGCGCGCTATTCGTTCGAGATACTTTGACATTTGCTCTGTAAATATCAGCGATATGTAGCCAACAGACGAATCGATCGTTCGTTGTCAACCAAAAAAAAAAAAAACAAATAAAGATCAACGCGCGCATAGAAAGGGAAATTCCTAATTTCCCTTTCAAAAGATATTAAGTATATCGAGATATATTGCGCGTATGTTATCTTCTTCATTACTGTGCAATAATGTCGTTCTTAAATGAGCACAAATTTCAGACTTAATTTGCCAATTTTAAACGCTTAGAGACCTATTACAGTCTTGAGACGCGGATTCTATATTTATTTTCTTATTAACTTAGAAAATAAATATAGAATCCGCGTCTCAAGACTGTAATAAAGTTAATAAAAAGAGTGATCTATACAAGACACATATATATCTTGCGTTGCAGGATGATTCTGTTACGAGTTCTTTGTTTATTAAACCGTTTTCCCGAGAATTTTGCGTCCTCTGTGTATATCAATTCTCTCTCTTTCAGACCCGATCTCGCGACTCACATCGATTCTTCAGTCATCCTGCGATTATCTCACCACAAATATTAAAACCCGTCCGAATCTCTGGTTTCTTTACACAAAAAAAAAAGTGATATCGCTCCACCATCGGACGAAGGGAGTTTCCGATTGTCCCTTTCGTCAGTCTGAAATGTTGCGGAAGGGGGTGGTGCGCGGGGTGATGTTATACCCATCTCCCTCTCTCGCTAACAATGTGACACTCGGCTATGACTCACTCCCTTCTGGATAACCGCCAAACGTACCGTTATTACGATGCCCTTTCCCTATATCGGATGCCTCAACTCCGTATGTCGTCGAAAGCACACCTTCATCGAGCTTTAGTATGCAAGCCATGAAAGCAATAGCGATGTTTTGCCTCGCTCCCCATTCCTTTCTTCCCTCGTCTTTTTCGAACTTTTTAAAAATTTGAGAGATCACTATTATATAGTAAAATATCAAATGTTTATATCTAACAATATGAATGTTTCGCAAAATTTTATTTCAGCTATTACATTTCCTTAACACAAAAAATATAGACATACACGGGATCTATACTAATAGCCGTAAATCCTTACAAAGAGGTCGACTACTACACAAATGTAAGTAATTAATTGGATTATACGATATAAAACAAGAAGATTAGAGAAGTGAAATATAGAAGAGTGAAAACGATAACGTTTAACATGTGGAAACTTTATTTTAAACCCTTTTTTTTTAATAACATTATTTAAACATACTTTAAATAAAGTTCCCTGTGAGGTATCGTCACTTTATTTTCGCCGCAATTGATTAAATTACCCTTGCATTTACCCTGAAAGAGTTCTGCAATTCCTGGTAGATTTTTTCAACACAGTGTTCTGGTGATTCAACGTAAAAAATCGCCGACTCAAACACACTGTGAAGCGTCAACTTAACTATTTTTACAACACGAAAAGTGATCGTAACTTTTTACATCCTTTTGCATCACGATACTATTTTATAATACTTACAGTAATACTACTTAATACTTTCAAAATTCTTGTTAATACTACTTAATACTTTCTAGCTTAACGCTTTTCGTTGAATCCCATAAAATGTTATTTAGAACTTTAGAGTATCTCTCTCTCTCTCTCTCACTGAAAGTTGTCCTTCCACCAATTAACAAGACATTAACAAAACAAACACATCTAATCTAAAGTAAACTCTTGGTCTCCACATTAATTTTGAACTTATTGTTCTATCGTAGACATGTGAATTTTTCTGTAAAAGCTCTTAAATCTATATGAACGATATCTGCAGAAAAAACTTCTGCTTTAGATCATAAAGTGATATATTCTCTCTCTCTCTCTCTCTCTCTCTTTCTTGCGTAATTGTTATCGATGTCGCGTCATAGATTATTAAGTTGACGGAAGAAACGAGTATTGTTTCCATCATTTTTTTCCGATATTTTTACATTATTAATTTATTAATTTAATTTTAATACTGAAAAAATACTTGATTTATATATACATTTTAAAACGATAAAATATTCAATTTTTACCCGAGATAATTGGCCTATGTAAAAACATGACGAACGAACAAAATATTGACAAAAAAAAAGGTTGATTATCAACGCAAATTTATAACGACCACAATATACGTTTTTTTTTTTCTTGTCTCTTGATGCGGTCTTAGAAATTTGCGAGAAAATGTCATTATATGCATTAACTGCACTGATCAGCTGGGGGGCACCGACTGGACGACCAAAGACCCCTGCCGGAGCTAGAAGGAACAGGGTGGCACGTCGTGGCGGTGCACGCCCCGCGTTATTGATCGCGTCGAAGCATGCGGACCTGATTCGGAACTTGCCATGATCGTCCCCGCCCGGTTGCTTCGGGATCGCACGCATTTCTTCTTCCCTTAAAGATGACTTGTTACTTAGGTCGTCGCCCAATATGATCACGATATTATATCTGCATAGATCGAACAATATTATACACCATTGATAATAAAAAAAAAAAAAAAACTCATTTTACATATCACTGATAATAAAACAACCCGTAAATATGACAACGCACACTTGCATTTCAGCGACATTTATAATAAAAAGAAAGAGAGAGAAAGAAAAAGATGACTTTAAGTCTTGTGTTTTGAAATGATATGATAAGGGAAAGATAAGAAAGAAAACGATTTTTTGTTCTATTTGCAGACTCATTTTTCTTGTAGATAAAATCTTGAAATACCTATCGCTCCTTTGATTAAAGAAACGATTCGAAACAACTGTTTTCTACTTTATGAAGATGCAAGATCGACTTAGTCGTTCATAAAGATATTCGTGATGTTTTCACAGATTACCAGTCGTTGTTTTTTTACTTTATCTCGTCAAACGGAGAGCAAAAAAAAAAAAAAATCTTGCAAGTCTTTGTTAGAATTCGCGTTTTACATGTGCACTTACTTTCTTCCTTAGACGATACTGATCGATGGATATGACCCACTAACTAAATAGAACGAGAAATCAACATCCCTTTGCGCTTGTACCGGAATATCGACGACATACATATCGCACACACGTTTATACGAATGTAAACAAATTCTGAATTCTCAGGCCCGTGTGTGGAAACATATACCGATACTGAATAATTCCTTCCCATTTTTTATGTATTTGTGTATTTATTTATTTATTAGGTATTTTTACTAATTTACACTTATGTGCAAATACGGTAGGATTTCAATAATATTTTTATACGTGAAAGAGACCGATTGAATTGTTGAAAATGATCTTTTCTTTCTATCGCACAAGGAGAATGTTATTTGAATTTGTGAGAGAGATCAGACGAAACTCTTAAAAATTCAGTTTTATAGAAAGGAGAAATTATTGATGATCGTTTGCGAAATGTCATTTTGCAGGAGTATGTAAATCGATATCACGGGCAGAAGATGGGTGCCTTGGAGCCTCACGTATTTGCCCTGGCGGAGGCGGCGTATAAGTCCCTGCAGGAAACCGAGAGTAATCAGTCCTGCGTGATATCGGGCGAAAGTGGGGCCGGCAAGACCGAAACAACTAAGTTTATTTTGCAATATCTATGCTCGGTCACCAGCAACGTCGACACTTGGGTGGAGCAGCAGATTTTGGAGGCCAACACCATTCTTGAGGCATTTGGTAATGCTCGCGAATAAACATTTGCATCGGCAATTAACGCGCTATCATACATATGCAGGAATTTTTGAAACTATAAATACATTCTTTTCATGAAAAATGTCACATGTTGGGTGAATATAATTTTACTGCAAAAACTATCTACTGAAAAAAGTTGTTTCTGAACATAGAAATTCACGTTTGACTTACGCACACATTTGTTATTATACGTTACATACGCGTACGTGTAAAACCTTAAATAACGTTTTTTTATTAATAAAAGTCAAGATAAAGACAATGGGTAGAACTTAATTGCATATGAGCATAAAAACTGTTCATTACTCGAAGTCTAGATGTGGGCGCGGCAAAAACTCGGATGTTAAATGAAGCAGCGGACGGAATTAAATGGGTCACGAAGGAAAAAAAGTTTTCTGAATAAAGCACATCAAACTGATGTCGTTCATACAAGCCATATGAAAAAAAAAAAAAAACTCTGCCGGATTTTTTTTTCCAATTCAACTTATTTCTAAAAAGTTACTTCTTTTTATAATATTTTTGCTCACACAGAGTTTGTGAAAATAATGAGAAAAAAATTTAATGTGTGAAAAAACAGGTAACGCAAAAACCGTACGAAACGACAACAGCTCGCGCTTCGGCAAGTTTATGCAAGTATGCTTCGACAGCAAATGGATGATAAAGGGGTGCATCATCCAGGATTATCTACTGGAGCAAAGTCGTATCACCTTTCAGAGCCCCGGGGAGCGTAATTACCATGTGTTCTATCAGCTGGTTGAGGCCGGCACGAGGGATAAAGAATTTGCTGAACAATACAAGCTAAGACCGGCTACTCATTATAAATATCTCAATCAATCTGGTTGCGTAAAGATCGAGGGAATTTCAGACTCTAAGAAACTTGATGCTCTCAGACTCGCTTTCAACGTGCTTCAGGTAAATTTTCTCTCTAACAACAAGTTTCGTAGCATATTTCATACTTTCATATATTTTACGACGATCAAAATAATGTAATTAAATGTTTACATTTGTTTCTTCGTTTGTAGATTTCGTCAGAAATGTGCGAAGGAATTTTCCGCGTTCTGTCGGCCATTTTGTGGCTCGGAAATTTAAATTTTGAGGATGTCGATGGCGAGAAATGCGAATTGTCGAAGGAAGACAAAAACATAGTGAACATAGTGGCACCGTTATTGGGTCTCCAAGTGGAAGATCTCACGAAGGTCGTGCTGATACGACAAATAAATGTTCGCGGAAATATCACAGAGATTCCTCTAAAGGTGCAGGAAGCTCGAGAGAACGGACATGCAATGGCAAAGGCGCTCTACTCGCGCACCTTTGTCTGGCTCATTAATCACATTAACAATTGCACGAATCCGGGTCAGGATAGTTCGCGATTTCTCGGGGTGCTCGATATCTTCGGTTTTGAGAACTTCACGTTGAATAGCTTTGAACAACTCTGCATCAATTACACGAATGAGAAGCTGCATAAATTTTTCAATCACTACGTCTTTGCGCTAGAACAGGAACTGGTAAGTTTTTATTTGCTTAAATTTGCTCATTTTTCTCCGTGAATAGTTTTGCGCATTTTATTCAAGGATTAAATACTTTTATATACGTAAAAATAAATAAATGAATAAAATATTGCGAACAAAAATTGAATTTTAGTATCGTCAAGAAGAAATTCAATACTCTCACATTACGTTCACGGACAACACCATGTGCTTGGAGTTGATTGAGAAGCCCCCGCGATGCGTTCTTAAATTACTGACTGAACAATGTCATATGCCGAAGGGCTCGGACTTGGCTTACTTGATGAATTTACACGCGGAATTCGAAAACCATCCGTGTTACGTAAAAGGAGACGATCGGCGAAAGTGGGAAAAAGAATTCGGAGTTAAACACTACGCCGGCTGCGTGACATATACTGTCGAGGGTTTCGTCGATAAGAATCGAGATGTTCAGCAAGATGTATTCTTCGACTTCATGTCCAGAAGCACTAACGAGTTTGTGCAGGAGATCACTGTCTATCAGGATTTATTGGGATGTACTGTTGCGCGTGCAGGTGGCGCTGCCACAACGATGTCTCGCGGAACATCTAAAGGCAAACCAACTCTCTGCGATTCGTTCCGACATCAGTTGCAAGCTTTGGTAGACGTGCTACAGGCGACAACACCGTGGTACGTTCGTTGTATTAAACCGAATATGGAAAAGACGGCTAATCACTACGACGAAAAACTCGTGTTGGATCAACTTAAATATCTCGGCATGTTGGACATCATACGTATACGCAAAGAGGGCTTTCCGATACATATGACATTCCATGATTTTGTGGCGAGATATCGTTGTCTCAACAAGAACCACATTTCGCTCTCCTGTGACGAGAAGAAGACAGTCAATTGTTTGATCAGTAGCCAAGGTATACCGGAAACTGAGTGGCAGATTGGTCGAACAAAAATATTTCTGAGGAGCTGCGTGCACGAGCCACTAGAAGATTCCAGAAATCAGATGGTAACAAGCAATGCCATTGTGATACAAAAAATTTGGCGCGGATACATCAAACGACGAGGTATGTGTTTCACACTTTTTTTTTCTTGTGTGTTTTTAATAGTTTTTTTATTTTTATTTTTGCGAGGAAAATTTTTACGGAATAATTTGCCTGAATCTAAATTTATTTATCTTGAAAGTTACTATAAATTGAACATTGCTATTCTATATACTGACAGAATACAAGCGTACAAGAGAAGCAGCGCTGAAGGTGCAACACGCGTATCGTGGCTGGAAATTGCGAATAATGTTTATTAGAAAACGCAGAGCTGCCGTCGTAATTCAGAGTCATCTGCGAGGTGTCTTCGCGAGAGAAGTGGCTGTGGCGCTACGAGAAATGAGACGAGTTGATGAGGAAATGAGAAAGAGAGAACGGCTAGAAGAAGAACGAAGATTAATGGAGGACAAGAAAATGTTGGAGGACAGTCAAAGGTAAGAGATTAGCGGAGAGTTCATTTAAGTTTTATTAGAGAAACGTTTTCATTAGAGCTTTCGTATCAACGGGATTAAGATAATCGATGGAATGGATTAATTATGCGTGCGATCGATTACGTGCGTTAACAGTCTCTCCATTTGTGTCCTTTTTATAGCGCACAGTACAATGGTATTGTTGGAATGGAATCCGGGTAAGTTTAATGACGAATGCTCGTGCGTTAAAATAATTTTTTTTATTTAGATAATGAAAAAAATATTACCTGCATTAGTTGTGAGAATTGAAACGCCCGTTCATGTAAATTCGTGATTTAAATAAAATTATATATAAAAAAAAATAAGATATCTTTATGATCACATGTAATTCACTGTAATTTTTTCTCATTTTTGCAGAAAAGCACAAGAAGAAATCGCCGCGTTGTCGCAAATGGCCGAGCAAATGAACTCGAAGATGGCTGCCTCAGATTTGCAATCAGTAGACCTCGATAATCTATTTTCTTTCTTATCCGATGTACAATCAACCAAAAGCAATCAAATTATCGAAGAGATTGGCGAACAGATGGACGAGCTGGTCGAAGATCTAGACGTAGAATTGGAAACTGTCATTCAACAAGAGATGGAACAATTAAATTCCAAGGTCGAGTCACAAGTCACTTCTCCTGTTAATGGACAGAAAGCGACGTCTTCGCAGCAACAACAGCAGCAACAACAACAGCAACAACAACGAATATCTTGTGTGAACAATTTGAATAGCAGCAAACTCGGTCAACCGAGTCTTCCGGAACCTACGGAACCGCCTCCACCACCGCCTCCTCCCGCACAAGCTTCAGTTATGAATGGCGGTGATTCGTCGAGCGACAACGGCGAACCAATCTACGAATCCGTTTTGCCGCGTGAGGAAAACGATTCCGACAGTCCAATTCTTCATAATGGTAGTAGTTCGGGTCAAATAGTGAACGGCGATGATTGTGGGTCGCCACCACCTGTACCGGGTAATAAAATAGCTAAGGAAGTCGCCAGTAGTCCGCCATCCAGACCAGAATCTAGAGGTTCCAATCATCATTGTTTGCATCATCATCATCATCACCATCATCATCAACAAACGATACCCCAGACGCAGCAGAATGGTCACGATCAGTCACAACCGCAAACACAAACGACGCAACAGCTACCGGTCGAGCGCGAGCAGCGACGCAAATGTCGCATAGAACGTAAATTGCAAGAAATGGAAGACAAAAAAGAGCAAGATACCGAAGCAACTTATCACGATATCGTAGAATTTGCGCAAAACTATTTCAACAATCACGAACGTTCGCCGGAGGGCACCATAATGGCTACATTGACGAGAAAATCGCGCGGTAAAAGCATTGAGTACATCCCGAAATACGAGATGGTCACATATTATAAAGGATCCACCATTCCGAATTCACATATTCACATGTACGATCCTGATAACGTGAACGTTGCGTGTTCTGTATTCCGGGTAGGTGAATATATTCATAACATGTGTACACAAGCATTATATTGTACCTGGTATTGTGTTATTAGTTATTTACGTCTTTTCTTTACAGGACTTTTGTAAGTATATACGTGGGGAAATGAAGTTGGACCAGGAAATAGCTACGATTCAGAGCATTATCGCTTACGGAATCGAGAGAGAAGAACTGCGGGACGAGATTTTCGTGCAATGCATTCGACAGGCAACCAACAATCCCAGCGTGGAATGGGCGGAACGCGTGTGGTTGCTGTTATGCCTCGCAATAGTGGCCTTCCAACCGAGTAAACTGCTCTACAAGTACTTTGTCTCCTTTTTGAAGAAGAATCTCGCACTCGAGGGCAAACTGAGACAGTACGTTCAGTGGTGTGTGGATAACTGCAAGAACACAAAAGTATCTTGTAGGCAACATCCACCGTCGACAGTGGAGATTGCTGCTATGAGAAGATTGGGCACCATAGTCTGTCGATTTTTCTTCTTGGATGGGAGAACAAAAGCGATTGATGTGCATCCGACTGACACGGCTGCCGATGCTGTAGCTAAACTCGGTGAAAAATTAGGTCTACGATCGCTCGAAGGTTGGGCTATTTATCAGAGCAGACCTGACGGAGAAGAGCACGTGCGGGCTCATGATTATTTATACGATGTGATTGCTGCATGGGAAATGTAAATATAATTACTCTACTTATTAGTAAAGTAAGGCGAGGAGAAATGATTTTATAAAAAAAACAAATTTTTTGCTTTTCTTTAATTTAATAGGAAACAATGTAAATTGAATACGGCACAATCGGCGTTTTCGACGTTGCGGCGCGGTAACAATGCTACTTTAGGCAGCGGCGATAACCGGTTTGTCTTCAAACGAAGATTATTCCGTAATCCAAGAGAAATCTCGCAAGATCCCGTAGAAGTTAATATGTTGTATGCGCAGGCAGTTTACAACGTTGTAAAGGTATACAAAAAGATATATATATATATATAATACTTGTTTCGGATCACAATTTTTATCTATTTTATTTGTGTACTGAATCGTTTTTATCATTGTTTATCTTTTTCAGTGCGATGATTTTCCAGTATCTGAGAAGGTAGCATTGCAATTGGCGGGATTGCAAGCGCAGGTGTCTCTCGGTGATCCAAAGGACAACGATAGATTAGATTATTATAGCGAGGTCGATAGTTTCTTGCCCTATAGAATCAGTCGGGCCCGCGGTGACGATGTCTGGGTACCGATAATAGCGCAAGCACATCGGCAATACGGCGCCGGACGTAAAGAATTAGCGGCCAAAGTTCTATATCTATCCTGCGTGATGCAATATCCTCTTTATGGCACAACGATGTTCAACGTTACCTATCGAGGATATTGGTCTTACGGCAATCAATTGATCCTTGGCATTAATTGCGACGGTCTCATGTTGATTAAACCGGACGACAAGTTTGTTCTCTCTGAGTATCGTTATCAGGATGTCGAAAGCATCATGCTAGATCCGAGCGATTCATTTATTACAATCTCGTTGTTGCGACATAATCCCGACAGTTCGCACAAGTGTTTCGTTTTCGAGACGGCGCAGAAAAATGAAATAGGCAGTCTCATCGTGAGCTACTGTTCGGCGCTAGCAGGTTGGATTACGGAAAACGAAGTGCCCACGAAGAAACTCAAGTGCATTACTAACGAAGATCGTATCAGACTGTATCACAATCTGGTCAACTGTCGACGAATGCTGGTCGACGCGGAAATTCTTAGAAAACCCCAGGATTCCGGTGGTGGTTTTCTCAGAAACACACTTAGAAGATTGTCTAAGCATCGAATAGAAAAACTCAGGCAAGAACATGGAAGCGCCGATCACGGTGAGACTTACAAAGGCTTCCCGTACGCTTACTGGGCGTTCAGCAGGCAACAAATACCTCAGAGCTTGTCGAAACTGCCTGATACTGACGAGCAAATGGCTCTGAGTATCTTTCAATTGATCTTGACGTATGCGGGACTTGGTCAAAACGGCGACACAGTGCGCAGGGTTGAGGACGAACACGTAAATCTTATACAAACCGTGATGGAACGTTGTATACGAAAGGAAAACTTGCTGGGCGAGCTGTATCTTCAATTAATCAAGCAAACGACTGATCATCCGGATCCGAACAATCGTGTCAATCTTCGACACTGGGCGTTGCTTTCGCTCGCATGTTCCGTAATTCTTCCGCCTCAGAAAACTATACGTAAATACTTGATCGCGCACTTGAAAAGATGCGCTAGTGATTATGTCACCGAAGAGGGCAAGTACGCGAGATTCGCGGAAAAGTGCCTTTACAAGACTCAGGGCACTCGCAGACGACAGTGGCCGCCAAGTCGCGAGGAGATCATGTGCACCATCAATCGTCGGCCGATTTACGCGAGATTTCATTTTATGGATGGTCAATATCACGCCGTCGAGTTCCATCCATCTGCAACCGCAAGGGATGTCATGGAGATCATCAAAGCTAAGATAGGACTCGAAGAGACTGCTATGGGTAAATTTCTTATTTGACATTTTTTAATCAAATGTCAATTTAATTTGAACTTACATTAATCTTCCTGTTAAATTTGCTTGACTGTATTTGTTTCTTACACCAGGTTATGCGATATACGAAGTGCTCGGACCGACCGAACGATCGTTAATTCCCGAAGAAAAAATAGCCGATGTTATGTCCAAGTGGGAACGATATAGGACATCACAGCAGACTCAACAGACCTCACAGCGGAAGCATGCGCATCACTTTTTCCTTTTCAAAAAACATTTGTTCTTGGATCGATATATGAACTTGGATGATCCAGTAGAAAAAGAACTGTTGTATCATCAAGTTCTGCACGATTTGCGTGCTGATCGATTCCCTATCACTGAAAAGGAAGCCGTAAGTTATTTGTGAAATTAACGATTTTTAACTAATTTGTGTCGCAGAAGAAAGAAAGATATCGATAAGAATTGTCTTAAAATCCATGATCAATATTATTTTTAAAATTAATCCAATAATTATTAGTTATTAAACACGTTTACAAATCAATCTCAATACTCCTTTTCTATAATCACATCTGAAAGAGAAATAGTTGATCTGCTTAACTTTTACATGTATTGCTAATATTGTTATTGCAGATGATGTTGACAGCTTTGCAAGCGCAATTAGAACTAGGTGACTGCCAAGATTCCATATCAGAGCCAGACTATCGAACAATATCAAGTCACTGCCTACCATCAAGATTAGTACCATGTTTATGTGTGGATGGTGTGCGTCAACACCACCAGTCCCTACGTGGAATGACACCGCCCGAAGCGAAAAAGGCTTTCTTGAATTTAATCCAATCCTGGCCGTTGCATCGGGCGACTATTTTTGATGTGATGCAATCGTTTACTTCAAATTGGCCTCGCGTACTTTGGTTGGCCATTGATCAGCAGGGTCTTCACTTATTGGAACATCGTTCCAGAAACGCATTATGTACTTACGAATATAGCAGTATTCTTAATTACACTCCTGCTGTTAATTGTTTAATGATTATCACCGGTACGGATAAGAAGCAAAGCAAGGTCATCCTTACTACGTCGCAGGTAATGTATTGAATTGACGTAAATTTTTTGTCATTAAAAATAATATGCAAAGTTAATTATAAATTTAAACAATTATGACTTCTTCTGGTTTTAATTATAAATTTATTTATCTAATGTATCGCGAATTATATTTTATTTTTCAGGCTCATCAAATAGCAAATTTGATTCGTGAATACGTAGAAGTACTTCAGTCGCCACCGGAGATACCGAAGCGAGACTCGGCGATAACTCAAGAGTTGGTTGCCCAACAGCAGCAGCAACAGCATCAGCAACCATCCGCGAGTTTGCCGACATCGGCAACCAGTGGACGAAAGTCTCGACCTACTTCGATGTTACACAGAGGTGCTCCAATAATACAGTCGCAAGCTAGTTAGAATGCCTGGGTAACTCTTTTGAGAGACAAAAATAGTTTTCCTTCAACCTAATATCTAAATCGTGTTTTGAGCGCTACACGTTCCATTATAAAGTGCCATAAACTTGAGATGTATAGCGCCTTCTTCTCCATCCCCTCCAATATATGACGCAGTACTCGTAGTACTACGTATTTTACCAAAAAATATATTATCACGCACAGATATATATATTATATTATATATATATATTATATATATATATATATATATATATATATATATATATATATATATATATATATATATATGCATAATGTGTGTGTAGTTTAATTACACATTAATTTAATATTGGTATTGTTCCATTTCGTCCACTACGATAAAGTGTTTTGAAATTGCGGCATATAATAGAGAAGAATGACATTTATTGTCAGGTTGTAGCGTAAAAAAAAAACAGCTTCATTATGCATGCAATGCCAAATGTTTACTAATCTTCAATACAATCTTGCATATCAAATCTAGGCAATGTATTGTCTGAGAAGATATATAAGTTCAGTCACCTGAACGGTTTATATATATACATATATATATATATGTATACATATATATATAGACCTCTTTTGAATAACATTTTAAATTTCGTGTATTGTTCAAGAGAGTCGCATTTAGCGCTAAAGGGACGTATTGAACAGATATAAAAGTACGAATAAAGAGTATATAAAAATCCTTAATATTTTTCTGGCTAGGCCTATTATAAAGCGACGATATAAGAATGGCACTAGCTTAGGAGTATTATTTCTTCCATTATTTATATATACATATATATAGCGGATTAGGTTATATGATATATACATAGAGATATATACATAGAGATCTCAAAGAAAAATGTCAAAGACTAGATTTAGTCTCCGCGAGTACTTAACGAAATGAGTGATAAATAACTGCCATTAGAGAAGAGAATTATTGACCGCTAAGAAAGTTGTTAATACAACTTTCTTATTTCTATTGTGACCGTTATCATTGTTGCCTTTTTTACGAGCAATTGCCGTCACGTTTTTGATAACAATTTTTGTAGCAGAAAATATTACATGACCATTATACACTTAATGTTTAATCAATTTTTCCTATACATTTTTATCTCTCTCTCTCTTCAATCGACTGCATTTTTCCTTCTGAAAATTATATCAGATATATCGCGCGCGCAAATCCAAAGAACTATTACTAAAAAAAAAAAAAACAACAGTCTATTAAATGATTATTTATCTATCTTAAACGTGAGTGTAAAATGTTTGATTAAACATTTATAATTGATGTTAATTGCTGTGCGCACAATCATATTGTAGACATGATGATACGGTTGAAATTGTAATTATACTATTTATTCTCTACATAAGCGTACATGTGAGTGAGAGGTTGTATTATATAAAATTTACATACAAAGGAGGTAACAATTTGGATGGATTTATTTGCATTTTGAGACATTAGATAATATATTCTAAACCCTTATTTATTTTTCTTATTAAAATCTCTTATCGCAAAGATAACTATCAATTTTAAATGTCTTTAACTTTTTTAATATCTATATAATAATATATTTAATATATAAAGTTAAATATAAATATTTGCAAAACTTTCACACAAAAAACTCTAATTTTTAACTAGACAATCTTACTAATAATATTACTTCGTCACACACACGTAATATATTATAAGATTATAATCATTGAAGTTTCATTTAAAAAATCTCGAAAGAAATAATCCACATGACTGATACGATCTTAAAAACGTCAAAAGCTATATTATACGTATAAGTACATTTATTTGATATTTATATTATACGTATAATTACATTTATTTGATATTTTACTTCTTTAATCCAAGAGACAAAAATCTGTGTATGTAAATATATATGTATAATCATATACATTAGTAATAAGTTTTGCACAAGTACCTCTAATGTTCAAAAAGAAGTTTCTTAAAATGCAATCATTGAGTCGTAAATACAAAATCGGCAGTGTTTATATGTGATTTTTTATATTTAAAGATTTACAGTGAAAATTTTTCATAAGAGAACGAAGCATTATACAACTTTCGTATAAGATCACATATTGTCCCTTATACTTACATGTACTTAATATGCGTATATTTAAACAAGTATATTGTTACAAATGTAAGAATTTACTGAGATATAACGAACAATATTTCCGACTTCAATTTTACATTGACTTTGATTATAGTTTTAATTTATTGTAATTTGAGAAAGTCATGGTTATACAAAACCAATTATACTTTAAGAAAATCTTTTATAACAATTATAACTTTATATGTATAACTAAACAGTTTTAAATTTTTTTAAAAAGCGGTTCTTGTTTTTACATAATTTCTGGACAGAGTACTGATATAAACATTGTTAACGAGATAAAAATGTAAAACAAAAAAAAAGATGATTGCTTTGTTGCTTTTCACTTCGATTTAAATGCTTCGTGGAATCTCGATGTATTGCAGAGATAGACTGTGATACGTTTTGGGAGTTTTTAGTCTTCGAGAGCCGTTTCGAGAGTGAGATTACATTTCGTGTTATACGACATGCACGAACGATATACATGACGCTTGTATATGTATTATATGGTTTGAGTGGAGCAAGAGAACATATGTAAGAGTTTAAAAGCATTTAAGAGATGTCAAAAGATGGTTTGAAAATTTTAGAAATTAATTTAGAAATTTAGGCGCAAAATATAAACAAACCTTCCTTTTGAAATTACAAGTTTTTCTCTTTAATTTAATTTTTTGAAATTGAATTTTTAAAAACCAGACAAAATTTCGTAAATTTTTCGAGCATCTGATGAATTTTCTTTACTCCTCATATTTTCTAAACGTCTGAAAAGACAAGATCTACAATCTAGTACCTTTTGATATTTCAAACGTTTTTCCGTTTTAAATGCTCTTTGTTTATGCATGTAAAAACAAATCTAACGAGTGTGAGAGTAATTATAAGAACGATACGCGCGCGTGCATGCATGTTACTTAAATGACGGTACTCGCTATATAGCTTCTAAGCAAAGTATAAGTTATATTGGTTGACAATGTTATTAAAGAAAAAAATATATATATATATGTATAAATGAAAAAAAAAAAAAACGCTGTGTATATAAATATATATGCTTATATGTAGATAAGCTCGAAAACGCACGTTACAGGTGCTTTCGGCAAAATTATATAAGTGAAGAACCAGTGCGCATATTGTTATAAATGCAAGAGAAACATTCATATAAAAAACTATACATTGTATACTCTGAAATATAAAAAAATAAATAAATAAATACATACATATATTACATACATATGGATATTATAAGTAAGCGTACGCACGTATTACACATACAATACGCACATATTATACACGCATTATATATACACACACACACATACACGCACGCATGCATACAAACATATATACATACGCGCGTGTGCGCGTGCACGCATACACACTCGTGTTATAACTGTATTGGTATATGTATGAAAATATAATAAAGCAAAGAGTGAGTTATGTTTATCGGAATATTTTGTCGTACGCTAATTTATTTTGTGCAAGAATTATATCTATATTAGTTTCAACAATTTAATACATGCAATATAAATATATCACCACAATACGACACAATGTGTCGTGTGGAATTGCAATCACTACATGAACAAAAAATGATAAAATATAATTTTTAGAATTTACTTAGATTTACATAGATTTTTTTGTCTTATTAAAAAAAAAAGTAAATTTCTCCATTTTACATATTTCTGAAAAATCGGCAAAAGTTTTTACCTGTGTACGTGTCTTATTTGTTTTTTTCTCTTGTTTATTACTTATAGAAATAATTAAACTCTATCGAGATGTACAATTGTCGCATAAAGTTTTTCAATTTTTTGTGTAAAACGTGAGAGTTGATGAGAATGAATCATGTGTTTCGTGCAAAAAGCACGCTAACTTGCGTGAAAAGTAAATTTAGACATAAAGGTAACTTTAGAAATAATAACCGCTCGCAAAAAAAATATTAATCAATTAATCAATGTATACACACACATGTTTATGTCATACATACAGGTTGGTATCGTGGTAAACTAGTAAGAATTTTTCTAAGTAGAGTAGCTTTTTAAATGTCAAAGTTGCCTTGGTCTTTCCTTAATGAAACATACCATATATTTTTTAATTTTCATATGCAATAAAACAAATATACAATCATGTAAGTATTTTATATATATATATATATACGTGTATAACCATTATCATGAAGTGCCCTTGACCGTATTCCTTTTTGTGGACGAAATTAGTTTTACTAGTGGAGAACATCTCAAACTTTCTAGTGCAACCTAACAGTCGTATAAAAAATTATGGAAAAAATAATGAAGCAATAGAATTAAATCGTTATATCTAAATAAAAATATCTCAAAAACATAGTTGTTAACTTTACTGTTAAGATAAGACAAAACAAAACCTTATATTTTTTATATAGAATAAAAAGGAAATTATTTTCATATATTTTGTAGGTGTAGAAAATATTTGTATATAAACTTTCTCAATAATTTAATGATATTAACTGTTCTGTCAAATAATGAGACATTGCAATGTTATTATAAATAACAACAAATTATTTTATTCTATGTGTAGTAAGGTATATGTATTAGGATCTCAATCACATAAAACTAGATACGATAGAATAAAGTTGAAGATTATTCAAATTTGAAAAAAAAAAAACGCGTAGATGCGTATGTCAAATGTTTATGTTTCGAAATTGAACATTAATAATTTTTTGTTGATGAAATCGAAGTTTCGTATAATACATATAATGTAACATATATAATGTGTTTTATAAAAAGAACACAAGATCTATATCTAATAAAACTGCTGCTAAATCTATAAACGCGAGTATTCTCTTGAACACACGTGCGCACACATGTGTCTCGTGCGTAAGTTTTGCATTTTTAAATCAGAAAAAAAAAACAAAAAAAAAAAAAAAAAAACAAGATATAATCTCTGCAAAGGAAAATATACAGAGAGATATAAAGAGAGGAAGAGAGAATGAGAAAAAGAAGAAGGAAAGGAGAGCGACGGAGATGGAAGAGAGAGAAAATGTATATAAGAGAGCGTAGCTAAAAAATAAATAGACTGATGCGGGAATCGAACGAAGTAGGCTTCTTCACCAAGAGTCCGGAACAACGGAGACGCCCGGAAACGCCCGAAGCGCGCCGAGGACGCGACTGACGATCCGCGCAAGCGACCAATCGAGCGGTTCTCGGTCGAGTCTGTTAGGTCGGCGCGAAGTGGTCAAGGATAGGCAAAGTTGCTTTTCTCAATTATACGGATACACGTCTTCGTCGTTTTGCGAAATTACCGATTCGACTCGTTTAAGCTGATCTCGCACAATTGCATGTCATCGTTGCGGTCGGTGGAACGCGAAACCCGTAGTGGAAGAACACCCCGATGAGTGTCAAGACAGCGAGGGAGACGACGGGAAGGCCAGGCCTCTTCGTACGTGCGCTTCGCGGTCGTCGTGCATTATCGCGATCGCTGTCACACCGTCATCGGGTCACGATCAGCACCGGAGTTGGCGACTGTGCCACGCCGTTTCCTGTTGTATGCATGCCAAAGGCGAAGGTAAAGGTGCCTCGCGATTGAATACGGCGCTCGTTTGGTGGTGTTGGCTCGAGGGAAGAGAGAGCGCACCACACACACGGAAAGGCAAAGGACCAAGGGCTTTGCGACACGGGGAAAAAGAAAAATCTGACAGCGCGCGGAAACATCTCCCGAGAGAAATAACGAGAGAGATAATAAAGAGATAAAGCGCGAAAAAGAGGTGGAATGCGATAAAGAGAAAAGGAGCAAGAAGTGCGATTTCCGTTCTATGGATATGAGCAGCGCGCTCTGTGGAGAGGAATTAGGTTGGCCGAGACCGCGAAACGGTAAAAGAGGCCACTGGTAGAAACGTCAATTCAACCACGTCTGACAAATTGGGGCAGGGGAGAGAGATCTTTTGGATCTCTCTTTTTTTGTTTTTATTTTCCCACGTTATTATCTGTATTTTTTTTCGATTTTGATGGTAGTGGCGGTGCGGTCGCAACGATTGGGTGACCGCACGTATTTTAAAATCATATCAATCGAAATTACACACTCATGAATCAAGATTACGCACTCGGAATCATATGGGTCGGTACGGTCTCGATCGGAATCACATCCGTCAAAATCAGCTGGTCTGAGTGTTCGCACTGATACGTCAGATTCGAACGCGCGAGGATGATAAAAATCGAGATCTGCGAAGCCACGGGGCTTCGCGCGACCGAGAATCAACGAAGATTCTCACAAGAAGAACCATTACTATATCCGTACGTTCAGGTGAGTGTAGGTGAGACGGGCCTGGGTCGTACGTCCACGAGGCCGAGAACGTCGAACCCAGTTTGGAATGAATCTTTCGTGTACTCCGGAAATCATTCGGGAATATTGAACTTGACCGTCTTTCACGACATGGTGCTACAACCGGATTATTTTATTGCTAACTGCAACATTTCCTTCGAAGGTCTGACCAAACAACGTGATACCGACGTTTGGGTGAGTTATTTTTTGTATAGTTTAATAAACAAAAATCAAAAGTCGTATAAACTGCTATACATTTATATTTCAATCTCTCGAGTAGATTACTAGAATATTTAAACTTTTATTAGTTGATCTTTTTTTATTGTTGCGGAAATAGTTGAATGTGTTAAGAGAAACTTATTACGTAAAGTAAAATTCGATTTTTTTTTCAGAGCATAAGATTATAAAATTAAAATTTATAAAATTTGACTAAACCATTTTACTAAATTTAATTAAAATTTTACTACAATTTAATTAGAGAGTTTATGCAATTTATTTGGAGAGTTTTACCGCTAATTGATTTCAACAACCAGTATTTGCAACATGCGTTTTTGCAAGCTTAGCTCACCACTTGACTATTTCGTACTATAAATTATTTTTGAAGAATTAAATTAATTTTCTGACATAGAAAGGCTTTTTAATCAGAATCTGAATATTATATTATGTCAATTAAAAATCATAGAAAACTTTTATAATGGTCCGCACAATAATTGAATTTCGAATTTGATATTTCAGTGAATTGTGTGACATTTAGATACTCTTGTTTTGAAATTTATCAATAATCTGTTTAATTAATTTAAGAGTAATATAGTAACATAATAAGTTAATAATAAGTTTAATTAATTTAAAAGTAATATAGTAATATATCTTCAGATTTGATACTTTCGCGGTCTGTTAAAAGAATTTCTGAAAATGATTTTTCGAATTTGATCCACGTTAGTGGATCATTTTTATATTTATACTAAGTATCAGGTTGCTGTTGAACCCCAATAAGGTGAATTGAAATGTTCGCGAAACGTCAATGTAAAAAACCACCAACGTCGTTCAAACTCGAAAACCATTTTCAGAAATGTTCGGATACTTTGATATAAAGCAAAATAAGCTTAATAAAAGTTTTAAAAGTTTTTAAAAGTATCGGGTTTCTCTTACGAGAAAAATCATTGAGTTTATGGTCATCCAGTAAACTCCGAAAATTTATATGGGTTTATAAATTTATTTTCATTGCTCTGAAAACTATCAGTATTAAAATAATCTCAGCGTTGTATATCAATTATTATTCAAATCAATCATTATTTGCGCAACAATGTTACTTCTCAAATGTGTTTTTAGTTTTTTACACATAGAGTAATGAAAGTTAATCAATGTACACAAAACGAAGCACATAATTACGTTATCTCAAATATAATTATAAGCAGTTATTATAGATATGTTGTATAAGTGCTATAAAAAATTTGCGTTTTATTGCATACTCATGAATGAGAGAGAGAGAGAAAGAGAAAGAATGTGTGTGTATATATATATATATGTATGTGTACTGACATATAAAAAAATAATAATAGAATATACGTGACACACAAATGAATATTTAGGCAATTTTTTTGCACATATTCTATATTAAAATATGACATTAATATTCTTTTATTATTTTTAATCTACTTATTAACAATTGATTTAAAAACTGTTTCAGATTGATCTGGAACCTCAGGGAAAATTGAGAGTGAAAATGATATTCGATTATGTAGCAGAAAGTAAGAAAATCACATCTTACTATTTGATGCATATATATGATGTAATACATTTTTTATTCGATACATTAGATACGCCACTAAGTAGCGGATTGGGTGGCAATGGTGAAGGCACAGTCAGCAGTGAACGAGTATTTAAAGAGAGAGGTTTCGGTGGTAGAAGATATGCAGTGCGACGGAAAATACATCAAGTGAACGGACACAAATTTATGGCTACTTTTCTGAAGCAACCAACATTTTGTTCGCATTGTCATGATTTTATATGGTATGTTTGCTTATGTATGCCTTATTGCTTCGTGTATATCGCTTAAGGTCTCATGCAAAAGTATTTTTTGATGCTATCTTTGGACATGCTACATTATTTCGAAGTATTTGAAAAATGGGAGCATGCTTGAAATTTGGTATTTACCTCTGTTTACAGTTAGATTTTCCGAAAGAAAAGTATATAGCATTTTCAAAACTTTATCTAACACTGCACATCAAATTGATCGGTAATTTAAAAAAAAAAAAAAAAAAAACAACAAAAAAACAAAATGTTTCATTGATTTTTTCTTATAATTTTTTCGGTAATTTTTAAGAAAAGATACATTACGTGTGATTAACATTAGATTATGCCTAGGATTGAATTTTTACGATAATAATGTAATTATCTTAAACATCAACGAAAATGTTCCGTGATTGATGGTATACAATCAAAAAGTCCTGGAAACAAACACACACACAAAAGCTGAAACTGTAGAAAGTTTTTTAATTTTAAATGTTTACAAAACTTTACTTCATGCTGTACCCCGAAGATTTTGCAGGATGTAACTCATATTTTGAATCAGTTTCATAGTTTCTCAAGTACAGAGTTTCTGAAATATTTCACTTAAAGAGTATATAATAATTAATGGTAATAAATGATACAATAAGTATTTTCTCTAATTAGTAAAACTGTTGAAACTCCTTATAGTGAGAGAGGCAAAAGATAACTTAAAAAATTAACATATTGTTGTTGTTAAAACTACAACTTTAAATAATATTGGAAAACAATTATTTATATAATTCTATTTGTGCACATGTTTTTATGAATACTAAGTACTTTGCATCACATGGCGTTTCGAATGCGTGGTCTAAAATTGTAAAGTTCCGCGTCGGTTTGCAACCTTTGCGCAAAGCACGTTATATAGCTCAATGAAATGCTATTCTTGTTTATGAACATTGTTGACTTATTGATTATTATACTTTAAATTAAATTATCCAAGAAACTACAAGAGACCGTCCTTTAATTTAAAGTGCAGATTGTGCAGAAATAGATATATGTTAAGGTCAAAATTATTTATATTGTATAAATTCTTTTAAACATAGATAAAATAAAGGCTTTTGTGTTGTTTAAAAATACTTTGCAAACAAAACTTTGTATGAAAAAAATATTCTATATTCTTGGAGCATGGCTTTCGGGTTGGGGTCACGTATTGGGCCGTTTTTTATATCGACGTTTCGTAAACATTTTAATTCACACACACTTCAGGGTGAAGACTCTTAAACATTATTTAAGAACATTTTCTCTACTTTTTTTTTCTTCAACGGGTTGCATGCTTGAATGCATAATACTTCCTTTCGCGGGACTACGTACGTTAAACATTCTGCTAAGTTCGTTTTAAAAATATATTTAGGTGCTAGAACGTTTGAGATAATAATAATTTTAATGAACATATCTAATATTTACAAATATATTATAGCTAATCAGAGTAAAATGGGTTTGGTATCGTCAATGATCTTCTTGTTGTTTTGCATCAATTGCAAAAAAATCTTTTCAATGAAAAATTTAAGGTAGATAATGACTAAGTACAATTTAAGGAAGCAAACGTATGTGCTTAGAAGGGATCATGAGGATACGATGTGACGTGTTTTGTCTGTTGTATTTCAGGGGCTTGGGCAAACAGGGCTATCAGTGTCAAGGTGAGAAGACACACTGTTATTAACAGATTATAATTACGTATCCGCTTGCCGCACCCTTATATATGAATGTCTTCTAATTAGCAGTGTATATGTGGTGTGCGACTTTTGTCGTTTTGTGATAAGAAGATTCACGAAACTTTATATTATTAATTGAAATATTTATTTATTTATTCAACAACTTATTTTTTAATGCTTTACTTTTTAACCCGTAACGCCTTGCGGCCCAATCTCTGTGTGCACTTTTAGTTCATGAATATACTTTCACAGAAATTACTATGGAATTATAATTCATGATAAAACACGTGTGTGCTACACGCACATGTGTGTGTACTACATTACTTGCTATTTATGACATTGATCCCTGCAGGACTTTGGCATTGATCCTTATCACGATGTAACTGGATCTCTTCTGGAATTATTTTATTCGCTTCGATACAACGTATATGGCCACATAGAAGTGTTTTGGTTTATTGCATGTTCTTGACAAATTTCCTTTTCTTTTGTTTACCGACTTATAAAGTCAAATGGAAAAAAAACCTTCGAACACAGCGTTTTAGAACTGTGCGTTAATCCATTTTTGATACTGAAGCTTCTGCTGATTTCATGCCGAGGTAATGTTGAGTAATGTCAACCTAGTCCCAATTTTAGTTTTATACGCTTATAATGTTATTGTAAATAATTTTTGGGTATACGTCTAATCACGCATGCAATCAGCTTTGGATATGCAATATTTGATGTTTTGATTTACCGGTAATCACATAGTTTCAAAAAAAGATTTGTCATAATATTGTTTCAGTATGTACTTGTGTGGTCCACAAAAGATGTCACAAGTTTGTGATAACCAAGTGTCCAGGAATGAGAAAATTAGTAAGTTTATTCGAACTTTCTTTACAATGACATAATATGTTTTCTATTTTTTGACCAATTACTTATTATTAATAATTACTATTAATTATTATTAATAAAAAAAAAATATATATATATAATAGATAATTATTATTTATATATATATTTAATAAATAATTAATGAACCAAATGTAAACAATGTTTAAGTTATTTTAACAGGCATTTAATGTGCACTTTTAGGGTGGACAAACCGCGTTAAAATCAAGTAAAGAAACAGATGGTCCACGCTTCAGTATAGATGTGCCACATCGTTTTGTTCTTCATACATACAAAAGATTTACATTTTGTGACCATTGTGGATCCTTGTTGTATGGTTTTGTCAAACAGGGTCTACAATGCGAAGGTCAGTAAATCAATTTGTACGTGATTTATTTTCAATTAATTTTTATCGTGTAAGATTGTTAATCTGTTTTATATTTTTTACTGCAGTTTGTAACATGAACATTCATAAACGATGCCTAAGGAATGTACCAAACAGTTGTGGTGTCGATACCAAAGCTATGGGCGATATTTTGCAAACGATAAATATATCCGCCGACAAGAAATCCAAACCTTTAAAAATTACAGAAAGTCACGATGGACCATCTACGTCTACTACATCATGTACAAACACATCATCCACGACTGGATTACAGGCAAACCAAAGAACATCACAATCAATGAACATCTGTGAAAACGCAGTACCTGTTAACGGCAGTGAACTAAGAAAATTCGGTATTGACGATTTTAATTTTATCAAAGTGCTCGGTAAAGGTAGTTTCGGTAAAGTGATGCTTGTGGAACGAAAGAGTAACCCCGACGAAGTTTATGCCGTGAAAATTTTGAAAAAAAGCGTTATTATTCAAGACGATGATGTAGAGTGCACAATGACGGAAAAGAGAATTTTAGCTCTAGCAGCGAAACATCCTTTTTTAACAGCCATCCATAGTTGCTTCCAAACCACTGACCGACTTTTCTTTGTTATGGAATATGTGAATGGAGGTAAAAATCCATAATTTTTCATGAAACAATAAAACATTCTTTCTTTCTGATATTTTATGTTATCTTACAATATTATTTATTTCAGGTGATCTAATGTTTCATATACAAAAAGCACAAAAATTTGACGAAGATAGAGCGCGTTTCTATTCAGCAGAAGTCACCCTTGCGCTTCAGTTCCTACACAAACATCACGTTTTATATCGTGATTTAAAACTGGATAATATATTATTAGATTCGGAAGGACACATTAAATTAGCAGACTTTGGAATGTGTAAAGAAAATGTAATTGAGGGAGAAACGACAACATCGACATTTTGCGGTACACCGGATTATATAGCTCCAGAAATACTTCAAGAATTGCCATATGGTGCAAGCGTTGACTGGTGGGCTTTGGGTGTTTTGTTGTATGAAATGTTGGCTGGACAGCCACCTTTTGAAGCCGAGAACGAAGACGACCTATTCGAATCGATATTACGAGATGAAGCACTATATCCTGGATGGATCTCGCAAGAAGGAGTATCCATTTTGAAAGGTTTTATGACTAAAAATCCTGCCAAGCGATTAGGTTGTGTGGCAGCCAATGGTGGTGATAATGCTATAAAAGTCCATCCATTTTTCTACAAGAAGATAGATTGGGAAGCACTCGAAGCGCGAAGAGTGCAACCACCAGTTAAACCTGAAATTGTGAGTTTGATACTGCTTCTATTATAATAAATAATAACGTGACGATTATTTATAAGACTCGATTGTTTTTTTTTTTTTTTTTCACAATTTTTAGAAAAATGAAAAAGATGCTTCGAACTTCGATAAAGACTTCACACAGGAGCCTCCTGTATTAACACCAATGGAAGATGATGGATATATAAATCAAGATGAGTTTCGAGATTTTTCTATGGTCAATAAGGATTTTAATCCAACCAGATTTTAAGCGATAAACGGTGATAATTATTCTGGAGGAAAAATGAAGTCAGATATCGTGCTAACACTTCCCACTTAACAAGACAAACGCCATTTTATAACGTCGTATTATTAAGTGGAAAATATTAAAACGATATCAATTTCATTAGACATTAGAGATGACATATTTCTTGTTATCTTGGTTACTTCCTCGTTTTGTTCTTCCTCTTTTCCAATTAAACTATTTTTTAAATCATTTCTTTATAAGAAAATCATGTACAAAATGAAATCAAATTTGAAAATGTCATAATATTTGCTTTTTAAAAGTACCGCGATCTTTCGATGATATTAATTTAAGTAGGGATATATATTCAAATTTTATAGCCACAAATTCTGATCTTTCAGGTATACATAACGGCTTAAGATGCCTAAATGTCTGATTTAGATTTTATGTTGCCAGACGCTACGCTCTTGGCACTGGCAAAGAGTGAGTGACAGTGTGATAGTATGCAAGTAATCGAATGAATGAGACAAATTGTATGTGTGCGTCTTTCCTTCGATACGATTTGCTCATTTCTGGCAATACAATTTGTTTGTTTTCATGTTGCATAGTCAGACTGCAACAAATTATGTCGAAGGTAAAACTCAGCAGAATACCCAGCTCGCTATACTTGATGTATTTTCTATACTGCTGGGTTATCTAGATTGTGTATCTATATCGGTGTGTCTAGAATTACAATGTACATGTGCAATCAACATGCTTTAATCCATGAAAGAGAAGTTACGTTACGGTCGCCTCATGGACATAGTGCGAAATGTCTCTCTCTTTAGATTTAGATGCGTATAAAATATATATATATATATATATATATGTATGTATATATATATATATATATATTTATATATAGTACATTTCCAACGCACATTGCATATCGGTTCTCTCTCATTTCCCGCATTAATATATTTATTATTATCGTAATTGTGTGCTTGTACCATGTAAACTTAATGTTCATTACGCTCAGGCTTGATGAAAGAATATCATGATTTATACCGTCCTTAATACACCAATATGATACGTCTTTGCCGCAATGCTTTTTTCAGTTTTTTCATTAGTATTGTGGTAAGTTTTTTAAAAATACTCAAAATTATTTACTTGTCTCTGTTCAAGTAATACAATAATTCTCACATCAAATTAAATGATATTCTAACATCACGTCTTGGAAGATCATTGAGAGACATGGTGACAAGTTTATTTGTTATTTAATCATATTTTTTTACTAATTTTTGTGAATTACAAACTAAATTAAGTTTTTAAAAAAGTAATGAGGTGACCCTCGAACGCTTGTAGAAATTCAAGTATATAAATTACAAGTTTCTTTGAGGACATTTGTTAAACATTTTTATTTTCAAAGCTACATATACAAATTTCTATTCAAAGTTATTGAAATGTTACTTGTATATCAAAATCTTTTGAACTTTGTTAAAAACACATTGTAATTTTGTAATATATGACATATATATATACATATATATATATATGTATAAATATAAACATTATCGCTATATGTATATGTATATATGTGTATATATAATCACAAATATAACAATAATGTTAATTCTTAATGTTATTTCTCGATGTTAAATGTTACCATTCTTTAATGTTAATTCTAACTATTAATTCAATGTTAAATAGTTAATATTCTTCAATGTTAATTCAATGTGTTAAACACAAAATAAATTAAAATAATATATAAAACATTTTATAGATGTCGATATTAACTCTCCCAAAATATACGTTGTTTTTTCACAGATAAACTATTTTGCCTATCATTCGTGAAAATTTTACTAATTTAAAAATTGTTTATTATATTTGTTGAAATTAATTTAAAAAACATTTAAATACCAAGAAATTTATTAAAAATTGTTATATATATTTATTGAAATCAGTAAAAAACTTATATAAAACATGGAAACCTCCAACTTGTTGATTTGCAAAAATACTTCCGTAATCTGCAATCTAGATCGCTAAAGGATATTTGTTTATTCTAATTTTCGCAACACTGTGCACCGTGCAGACACTGTGCTATACATACAAATAAGGTTATGTTCACTCAGGGATACGTTCCAAAATCCTACTTTGGTTACTAAAATGCTATATTTTACGTCACGTGTACTATAGTTTTTGGTTACCAACGTAAGATTTTGGAACGTACTCCAGTAAGTACACGGCATGCACGGTAGTGGAACGGCAGCGAGAAAAACGCAAAGAAAACTTGACGAAAACAAATCATTTTGAAGTATGAAAACGAGTTACTTCGTTACTTGACTTCGTTATTGTAGACTTGAATTATGCAGAACTCTGATGTAATTGCAAATATTATGTGAGAAAGAGAGTGGATATAATTTTATATGTTTAAACCAAAATATGAAAATTTATGAATTTGTATTTTCTTGAGTTTAGAGAAAGAAGTTTGTATAAATCTTCTATTAATATTTGAAATGTAAGATGAAATTCAGTCTTCAGAACTATTTGAAACAACTTTGCAAATTACAACATTTACAATATTCATGGCTCCACACAGTGGTATGTATTGTAATTTATATTTTTGCATATATGTATATTATTTTATAAATTTAATTCTTTACTAGTTATGTTCTTTTTTGTAATGTATAGCCTGCGACAGTATCAAGACAAAATGTGACTAATGTAAAACTATGTGTTCCTGAGCCAGAATATAATATAGCTTTTCTATGCAATCCTGAAAATCGTGATGTAATTTCAAATAATATCAAAAGGAGAAAAGGTGTTGGAGATATTGACAAAGTTCTTGAATATTTTGGCAAACCTGAAAAGCAAAAATTACTTTTGCAAGAATTAAACAAAATACCAAACTGTACACATCCTTCAATAATTGAATATGGCGATAAACCAAAACTATTGAAAGAATGTGGCAAGAAACCAGAATTTGACTTTGAGCCTAAAGAATTCACTGAACTTGTCACTAATCTGAAAGCAATAAGAACACATGCTTTGGGCCCTGTTGCTGGACAGAGAAGTTATATGCTCTTGGGTGATTTGGCAGATCTAGAAGAAGCATTAATTCAATATACGGTTAAAGAATTAATGAAAGAAGGATTTAAACTGTTGTCTGTTCCTGATATTCTTCCAACTAAAGTTATAGAAAGATGTGGTTTAATAGTAGATGGTGACCGAACTCTTGTATATAATTTGGATTCTTATTATGGTGATGATTATAGTTTATCAGGAACAGCAGAAATGGCATTGGCTGCCAAGTTGATAAATACCACACTTTCCTATGACATGTTACCATTAAAATTAGCTTCGGTTAGTCGATGCTATCGTGCAGAGACTTCGAGTATACTAGATGAAAGAGGAATATACAGGTAAAATATTATTTAAAAAGATATTTTCATGTGCGAACCAATTCTATAAAAAAAAAAGTTATTCTATCTCATTTATGTTTACACAGAGTTCATCAGTTTACAAAAGTAGAAATGTTTATTTGTTCTGAGCCATCTCAATCCGAGGCATTATTTCAAGATCTCCAAAATGTACAGCAGCAATTGTTCTCTTCGTTGGGATTGCATTTTCATATAATGGATATGCCACCATCTGACTTGGGTTCACCTGCTTATAGGTATAGTATGAATGAGATAATATAACTATATTTAATGTTCTATTTTCTATAATATAAATTACTTTCTAAGAATTTTACTAGAGTTTTTTTAACGTAAAGTGTTTTGTTTAAGTTTGCTTTTTCATACATACATACATATGTGTGTATAAAAATTTATACACACTCTATTCGCATTATCTCACATTAACACATTGTGTATTTGTTTCAGAAAATGTGACATAGAAGGATGGATGCCTGGAAGAAAGTTGTATGGTGAATTATCTAGTTGTAGTAACTGCACGGATTATCAATCACGGCGTCTTAATATTAAATATAAGACAAAAGATGGGGAGACGGTTCACGTACACACGTTAAATGGAACTGCGTGTGCAATACCTCGCATGTTGATTGCTTTGTGTGAAACTTATCAAACAAAACATCATCGTATCACTGTGCCGGAAAAGTTAGTTCCTCTTATGAAGAGTAAAACGCTTATTAAGAAACAAGAAATAGCAGACACGAGACTTTTCAAGTACAAACCGAAATTAAAAGTGTAAATAAACTTATAAAAAAAATAAAGCTTACGACGCATGTGTTTCTTATGCCAAATCGCACCGAAGAGCCAGAAACCAATTATGGTTTGAAAAGAAAAAAATAACTTGTCAGTTCATTATGATGTTTGCATGCAGCATAAAAAAAAAGCATCGTGTGCCATAAGATCAAGTTTTTGTGTGTCTTTTCTAATTTCATGATTTTAATGCAGTAGTAACAAATATCCAGATATCTGAAAGAATATCTTGATAGTCCAGCCTATTACACAAGGAAATTTTTAAAGTCAACAAAACATTGAATACTAAACATCACCTGTCAGTATATTTTCTATAAACTAGTACAATAGTTTTATACAAAGAAAGATAGGGATCCGAAAATTGTACGTACAGGGATAAAGATTGTTTTTCATACAATTTCTTTGTTATTCTATGTATATTTTGTAGGAGTTATAAAAATGTAACACAAAATATTTTTTCTTAAAGTAATGCAATTTAAAGACATTGCAAATTCACAGTTGTTCCACACTGATTGGATGTTAGTTCTTATTGACAATTTAAAAAATGTTCTATTCTCTCTGAAGTACCTAATTCATTGTGGAGTAATCTAACATTGACTGAAGTTTTATTTTATTTATATTGTATAATTTTATGGCGCGATCCTTGATTTCTTTTCCGATTGATATTGAATTGTTGACTCGTTTCGTTTTTGCAACTATATTGTTCTTCATTACTGGCATTAAATATATAGTCTGTGAAAAAAATGTCTTAAAATGCACAATTTTACACACAAAGATGTGTGAAAACTTACTTAAATAGGTTTTCTTTTTTTTTCTTTTTTTCTTTTCTTTTTTTTTTTTTTAATCTTCCTCTTCTCCAGATTCTGACTCTTCTTCAGCATTTTGCAGCCATTCTACAAATTGTTTCATTTGGTCTAAAAAGAGCATTTTTCCTTTGACTGAATGACCTTCTTTGTACCACTTTAATATTATTTCTTCTGATACAACATCCGCTAAAATTTACATAAATTGGTTATATTTTTGTTTTATATGATGTTTTTAATATAGTATATAAAAAAATTATGATTTTATTGTTATCGATAATTGTATAACGTGTATATATATATATATATATATATATTTTTACATACTTTTATAAAAGAGTAAAACGATCTTCTGGAAGACTTTCATAAAATTCATGTTGTCATAACAAAATTCCTGGACCTTGAGGATGAGTGCGAGCTCAGATCTGGCAGTGGTTGTAAAAGCACCAAACAGTGAAGTATAAATTTTTAAATGTTTTAACGCTTGTTCGGCAACTAACTCTTCTTTCTTGTTCCATTCGGCTTGACCCATTACAACAACCCAAATCTATAAATATAATATTAATTAATATTAATATTAACAAATAATATTAATTAGTATATCTAAAACTCTATCTTGTTTCAAAGCTTTATTTAAGTTAAACCGAGAACAAATATTACCAATCCGATAACTTCATGTTCCGGAATGCCATTCCTTTGTGCCATTTCTTTGAGATCTAATATGATGTCTTTCATCGGTCTATTCTCGGCTAATTGATCTAAAAGAAGTTGCTGCAAATCTCGTTTTGCTTCCTGACTGGCTTGAGCCTTATGTAATTTTACGATATCAGCCAAACCTACTGCTTCAAATACAGCTCGAAAATGCTCTTCTGTTCTCTTATTCGGTGGTACAAACTCCATCAATCTGAAATATATATACAAAAGTTGAATAAACAAGGAAATCGATAAAAATAAGACTCTTTATTTTATAACACAAATTACATAATATTAATCATATGAACAAAATTTAACTTTACCTTCCTTCAATGCCTCCTTTTTTCAGAGCTGTCATTAAACTAGATAAACCTTTCTCTTGTTTCCAAGTAACAAAAACTTCCAATAGAAAGTCTAATGCCAAGTTGTCCTTGACAAGATGCTCATTGATAAGAACCGAGAGTACCGTAGGTGGTACAGAACCATTAGAGATCCATAAGGCTGTCATTCTAGCTAATTTAATACGTTCTTTAGGTGAAAATCCTTTCATGAAAACCAATACTTTCTTCATCTCTTCTTCAAACATTTTTTCCAAATATTTGTAACGTCGCATAAGTTTAATAAAGACCTATTTATTTCAACATACACATGTTACATATATGTATAAATATTTTATAGAAATATTCTAAAATAATAAGAGCAATTGAAATGTGAGATTATATATATATATATCATATCTCAGATTTTACCTGTTCAAAATTTCTCATAGATTCCATGTCCTCTGGCTGCTCAAAAACACATGCACTGGTCTTAACCGGTTTGTCACCATCTTGAGCTATAGATCCGCCAGGAACCAAGAGGCCCCCAGCAATTAAAATATCAAATAGAGCTTCCCCATATCGGCGGTAATCTAATTTGGAACCAGCAGTATCCAGATATTTAGATATTGCTTCTAAGTCGTTACCAGCCTTTTCCAATCCAAGAAGAACCGCATCTCGAAACCCTGTTGGATCATACTTTTCTCTTTCATCTGTAATCAACAGAAAAGAATAGCAATTTGATTAATTTGATAATCTTAATTAATATACTCAGTTCTATGTAATAAATGATAATAAATTATACATAGTATTTTTACCTCTTTTTCTGGTCTTTATTCGCTGACCTGATAATATTGGTTTTTCTATTTTTTGACTCATACAATACTCTTCTAAACAGAATAAAACATATAGTTATAACACAATAATAATAATATAAACATCAAAGAAACAAGGCTATCAAACGGTATGTACTAAAAGACTTCTCTAAATTAGTATATCAAGGATGCAAATAAATTGCAAAATATTGCAAAACTTCTTGTCATAGGTTAATTGTTATCTTGAAACAAGATAAAGTTTGTGAGCAAATTCACTAGAATACCTCCAATCTCATCAGAAAAACTAATGAATTTGCTTTCTACTGTTACATTTTTACCTTAATTTGCAATACACGTATATTGTTCGTGTGTGTGTGCGTGCGTGTATGTGTGTGTGTGTGTGTACGTGTGCATGCACATGTATGAGTATCCATAATATATCTGACAAATATGAAAGAAAAAATGTGCACATTACAGTGCTTTGACTTCGAGCCCCGTGAAACGCAACTTCGGACAAATTCCGTTAAGAGATAATAATTGTCTACGACGTTGCCTTATTATGTGCCGTTACTAATAGGAAATCTGAGTCACACGTGATATACAATGACGGTGGATTACGTATGCAATGCGAACACGGCTGATTCAGAGGTTAAGATCGCGCTTAGTGCATGGAGCATCCGATGTGATAGCAGAGACCACACACTTAAATATCTCAATACCTCGTCGGAGCAACGCGTCTGTTACGATTGAATTTCGATACTTCGCGATTTGTTAATAATTTCTCTCGCACGCACAACGCATTTACTTACTTAGAAGCACGTAAAAATTGTAGAATACCGCCTGCCCGTGCGTGCGTTACCGACGTATGATGCTCAAAAGGATTTTTGTGATTTAGTTCAAGTCGGCCAAATCAAAGATCAGACACGGGAGAAGCAAGGGTCAACGAATTATAGACGAGAAATCGACGAGCGAGACTTTTTTTTTATATATACGCGCCGTGTAGCGGGAGAAAGAGGAAAATGTGTCCTAAAATACATGGGGGGCCAGGTCAACTGTAGCTTCAAGTTAACTTTAATCAGGTCGACGAAAACGCCAATCCAGGATTGGTCAATTCGGTTAATCGGCCTGTGCAATTGGCGAATTCTAACGGAATAATCGATCGATCGCGTTAATTGGAGATGATTGACCTGGGTATCATATTGGTTAAATTCGGCAAATCGAGCAATGTGATTGGACAACCGCGTTGCGTGTCCGACCTACGTTCGCTATTGTTGAGAGCGTCAAGTGGAACCTATATATACTCATGGAAACCGAAAAAGAGGAACGTTAAAACGGGGGGAAAAAAAAAAGATAGAGAGAGAGAGAGAGTTCAACCAATCGTCTTCAACAATTTACGCTTATTAATCTGAGATATTGGGATTTAGATTGGAATTTAGCCAATTGGAACAGTTTCCAAAATTTTGAAGAATTTCTTTTTTTTTTAATTCACTTCTAACCCACAGCAACTTTTCCCAAAACTGGTTCTAAAAACGTGTATGTGCGCACTTGGTGCGCATGTGCGTGAAAAACGGCTCGCGTTGATAACACACAACTGTGGGTGTCCTTGCAGCGAATCGTGCACGTATGTATCAGCAGATTGTAGATACGCCCTGGCCTGCGCTGCGGCCCGTCCGCAGGCACCCGCAATTTGTGGACGACTGTCACGGGATGAGTGTGGTCGCGTTCTCAGGAAAATTCAATGAGACATCATCATCCGGGACACGGAAGTAATAACAAAGAAGAGTAAATAAAAAGGTTAGCGCGTTTTATAATCGATATTGGCCGACGATAAACGACGTAACGTTAGTTTTATTTGTTTTATCAAAGTCTATAATTATATATTGTGTGTACACACATATATATATATACACTCACACATATGATAACATTCGGAGTTTTCATCCAAAATAGACGGGCCGCGAGGGATTTCTGGCGCTTTGTCCGTGAACGTATCGATCATGACGCACGAGTTAAATGTACACTTATGATAAGTGTTCGCGAAGAAAAACATCTGATTATATAAACGTTCTATCTGGAATGTCCGTTGTATTATTATAGAGGACGAATTCTCTCGCGCTATTCCATTTTCGACGATCTTCTTAATTTTTTTTTGTTTAAATATATACGCGTCGATTGTCCTAAAAATTTATAGTGCGAAGAATGCAATATCTGCTATATATGTGCGCTGTAATATATTATTATTATTAAACTCGGAAAGATAAAGTTGGTCAAATAGCAGACGTCACGATAGGCGCAATTATAAATTGTTGAACTTTGTTCCGTGTACTAATTTAAAAGATTTTAAGTGATTTTGCAACGTCTAAAAGTCTCTTTCAACGTCTGTCCTTCGTATATTTATGCAACGTCACTTAATCGCGTTATTTTTATAAATATAAACACTTTATACTATATATGTATGTTTTTGTAATATATTTTTTATAATGTATATATTTTTACAATATATATTTTATTTTTATAAATATATATCTAATATACCTGTATCTAAATATAACATTATTTTTACAAGAGAAATATGTAAAAAGAAAAAAGGAAAGAGAAAACAAGAGAGTTAAAGAAAGTGAATTGTGTTGCACTGAAAAAACTATTAGAACATGATACACGACGCGTTGTGCAGTTAATCTCTTTAATCTTTTTAACGAGAAACTATTTTAATCAGTTTATAAGTTATTTTTTCCTTCAATAAGTTCTAATATGTAGTAAAATATATTTATTATTATATTGTGCTTTGTGTTAAATATTATTAATATATTTTGATTAAAAATTATGATTTTACTAAATTTTTTCGATAATTATAGCGAATTGCGCGATAAATAATATTAACAAAGTATAATATCAAGATACGTAAAACTGTAATTAATATACAAATCTAAACTAGTCGTAACTTTGAAAGGTTGCAATTAACATTACATCAATATTCTCTCTACGGATGTAATAGAAAATAATGAGAATGAAGACAATGAGTAAAGAATTTGTTTTCTGCAATATGATAGCAGCATATATGTAAACGTAGATACGTATCTATGTATTATGTATACATATATGTAACATGCTCTTATACGCATCATTTTGCTTTCCCACATACATATACAAGCGATGTAATCAATTCGCTCGCTTCTCGTCGATTATGCAAAGTTCCTTGAAACTGTTTGCAAGTAGATTTTTAAACACAACATCGTAGATAATGCTTTACGTAATGTTTACGGTATGTTTTTGCCTTGTTCGTCTTTCAAAAATTGATTTGCATGTACAAATATTGAGTGTACGTGTATTTGCATACATGACAGTTTAGTTTTATGAACTCTATTTTAAATTTTGAAGATAAATATTATAAGGAAAACATTAAAACTTTTGTTGAAAAACAATTGTTTTTATCTATTATTTTGTTCTTTTCTTTTAGAGTTTAGATACTTCTATGTATGTGCAAACAAGAATAATTGTTAAGTATAAGCAAAAAATAAAACTTTGAGTCATACGCTGGATGTACACGTGCGCAATATAATTTTTTAACGTGTAAATTAATATACATAGAAAATTCGAACTGAATAACAATTCTAAAAATTATGTAAAATTCACATACAAGAATTACCATTTCACACACATGTGATGCAAAGGCATCTTTATATGAATTGTTATTTTTATAATTATCCAATTCGTATTTTTTATGTGTATTAATTTACGGTAAGAGAAATGTGCACATACAGCGTATTTTAAAGTTAGTCTATTTCTTGATTAACTTTTCAAAGCAGTGGACAGACTTCAAAAATGACTAGTTCGAGAGACTGGGTCTGTGAGACCCGCGCGACTTGAAGATCTCCGCGAAAAATCAATTTTTTTTTTTTTCACTTTTGTAGTTTTGAATCGACAATTTGGACGATTTTGAGTCAATTGAAACAAAAAAAAAAACATTAAAATAATCTTTAGTAGTTTCGAAGATGTGTATAAGCGTTTAAAAAAACACAAAGTTTTACCAGAGACGCCGATGCGCAATTTTTAAGTAAGTCTGGGAGATCCATGTCTGTTTACGAAAAATGTTTATATTTTTTCATGTAAAATTTAGAAAATTTTTTATATTTTTAATATATTATATTTACATTCTTAATATAATTATATTTTTTATTTATAACGGACAGAATGTTCTGTTTACAAAATATCATGCGAACGAACAAAGAGAATGCAAGAATTCTTCGCTCCGCTGCAGACAATATAACTGTCAGCTCTTTTATAGAACGCTAAGTGTGTTGAATAGAACGTACTTTGAACGTATTTACTATCTGTCTTCTTATCTTTTTATACATCTGGTTATACATTTATCTAATCTATTGCTTTGTCATTTTGTATTATTTTCCTTTATTTATAATAGTTTACTTTCTTATCTATAATACACATACTTTTGAAAGAAAATTAGAAAGATAAAAAGTCACGTGAAACCACTAACTTTTAAAAACGACTCAGATCAGCTCGCAATTTTACACACTTTCTAAACACAAAAAAATTATCTCTGACGGACTTTCGAGGATTTTTGTTTATCCAATGCCTAGTTTTTTGTTCACATACATATCTTTTTTAATTATCTTTTTTATTATAATTTTTTTTATGACGTATACATAATGTAATCATAAATTAAAAAATTAATATTAATTTGTTGGATCATTTTTTATTTATAAGTATGCAAAACAAGTGCGCGATATATATATTATATATATTTTTTTGTACATATATGGGGTATTAAATAAATATTTAATATCTTTCAGCTGTGTGTGTCATTGTGGTACTAAACTTGAAACATAAGTCCGCATAAGAATACATTAGCATTATTTTTGTGCCAAAGATGAATGGGCATGCAGCTCGTTCCGGTGACAGTGGCCAAGCAGTTCTCGAACGCATTCAAGCATCTATGCTGCCAATCGGTACAAAACATACTTCAACATTAACGTCTCCGGTCATACCAGCTCCCTCAATGGAAAAGCAAAATGTGGTAATGTGTATCGTTTGCTCGTGCAAACATTTCTGATGAGAATTAAATTTATATTAACATAAAAACTGATATATATGTAAGTAGAGTAAATATTCTTACATTGCTTATCTATATGCTGCAGGTCAAGCAACAGAAAAAATATACAGAAAAGGAGATTTCGAATGCTCAAAGAGTATGGACGAGTTTGGTGTCCGGTGCGATAGCAGGTGCAATAGCGAAAACCACAATAGCGCCGCTAGATCGCACGAAAATCAATTTTCAAATCTCAAAACAACCCTACTCGGCCAAGGCGGCGGTGAAGTTTATCAGTACGATGATGCGCACCGAAGGATTTTTCAGTCTCTGGCGCGGCAACAGCGCTACTATGGTCAGAATTGTACCGTATTCGGCTGTGCAGTTCGCGGCGCATGAACAGTGGAAGAGAATTCTAAACGTGAAGGGTGCGGGAAGGTATCACGTAAAAACAATCGTGTGAAAAATAAAAAAATAAAAAATGAATTATATGAATTTGAAAAAAAAAAAAAATAATAAATCTCATTAAATTATACAATATTAATAATAAGTGAAGTTACTGTGTGTGCACACACGAAGATTTAATTCTTAAATTTATATTTATATAGCAGTGGATGGGCGAGTTTTCTGGCCGGCGCTCTCGCGGGTGTGACATCACAGACAATGACTTATCCGTTGGATCTAATGCGGGCGAGGATGGCGGTCACCGTGAAGGCCGAGTTTAGATCTCTGCGCCAGGTGTTTTGGCGAATCTACAAGGACGAAGGAATCCTAGCGTATTATCGTGGTTTTACCGCTACTGTCCTGGGCGCTATACCGTATGCTGGCTGCAGCTTTTTCACATACGACATGCTGAGGAATCTACTGTCCGGTAAGTCAATTTATTTATTAATTATAGATATTATTGACGCCCGCCGGCGGTGGCGGTGTTTGCACACACATAACACGTACGCACACACATATATATGCGAAAAAAAAAAAAAAAGAAAAAGACTCGTTAGTTATACGAATGAGTGTGGCTGTTGTATATGATCGTAAAGCAGGGTACCGATGGGGCACGTCGGGAGCACCCTGTTACCCCTGATATTGGGACGGTACTTACTTTAATAGCGACGCGAGACAAGCCCGACCGGCGGCGTATTTCGAAGTGCTGCGTGCTTCATGTTCGATGATGGCTACGTGTCGATGAACAGTGTACACGGTGACTATTCCGGGATTCTCGACCTCCCTCATATGCGGCGGCATTGCTGGAATGGTTGGCCAGACAAGCAGTTACCCACTGGACATTGTGAGACGGAGAATGCAGACTTCGGCGGTCAAGGGACAGCATTATCACACCATCACGTCGACCGTCAAGAAGATTTACACGTAAGCGTAAAAAAATATTATCTAAAAAAAACAACTATCCACATAAGTAATAAATAACTAGTGAATTTTCATACTATCTATATATACTATTATCTCAATATGTCGAATAATTGATAGTTATAAAAAAAAAAAAATTAAAAATTTTATTTTAAATGTTTTTTTTCACATATTGTAAAGGTCTTTTAAAGGAAAACGTGATGTAAATATTTAAAAAAGTAATTTGTTTAATAAATAAACATAAAATATAATTTATATAATACACAAAGTTTTGTAAACTAGTATTTTCAAATTAAATTTTATATTTTATAGGGAAGAAGGAATAATGGCGTTTTATAAAGGCTTAAGTATGAACTGGGTAAAGGGCCCTATCGCAGTTGGAATCAGTTTTGCCACGCACGACGCAATACGAGACACACTGAGGAAACTAATTAGCGAAGATACATAGAAGTAATAGAGATTTTCTAATGCTAGAAAACTGGCTCTATATACTCACAGAGTAATAATTGTATAATTTTTTGATCAGTTAGGCAGATCACTTTAATTACGGTTAAATATGTCAACATAAACTTTCTCAGAATGAAAAGCAAAAGATAAACTTATATAACACAAAGTGTCGTTAATAATAACAAAAAATAGTTATTTTGTGAGGGCATTTCTCCAAAAAAGACAATTGGGGATAATTAGTACAAATTGTTAAATATTATGTAAATATTGTTATTCTAAAAATTCTATTTACAGAAACATAATGTTTGGAAACAATATATATGTATACATACTATTTGTATACATATTGCACACACACACACACACACATACGTGCGCGCGCGTGCATGTGTGTGTGTGTTTACATATATGCACATATAAAACTTTGACATGTGTGTATATGTTGTCTGCTGCTAATATGCAAATGTAACTTTTGGCTTGCCTCAATCTTGTTCTTTGAAATTATGTTTTTAATACAATTGTTTGTAAAAATACGATATTTTAAAATATGATGTTTATAGAAATACATATATGACTTGTGTGTCTTACTTGTTTTAAGCTCTGTATAAGAAGAATAAGAAGATATATTTTGCATCTGAAACGTGTGTATAATCGAAAATACAAAACTCTTAAGACATGTTTTTACTTTGAAGAGATAACAATACTCAAGAAAAAATGTGTTTCAATTGTAAGATCATGTAAAATACAGATATATATTGTACAGTTTTGAGATAAGTTACGTTTCAAATATATATTGAAACATTCATTATACAAGCTTTACACAATTATTATAGCGTTAGAATCAATCGATTATAATAATAAAAATAATCGATTAATTTCTGACACGCTGCAATATTTTGTTTTTTTTTGTTTTTTTTTGTTTTTTTTTGTTTTTTTTTTAGAGTGATTGTGCGATTGATAGTGACAATAAAAGCTTAGAAACATTCGCAACACGTCTAGCACGTTGCTGTATAAACTTATGTCACACAATTTATAATGACAATATAATAGAGACAAGAATCCATATTACAACTTGTCAAATGTTATAAAAACGTACATATTTTGTTTGCATTACATATATATAACTTTTAAATTTGAATATTTTCCAAATATTTTGTGTAAATTTTTTAAATATTATATCAAATTTATGTTAAAATTTTATAATTTATTGCAATTAAATGAAGGAAGATAAAGTGAAGTATCGTGCAAAGAGAAATCAACTTCGTTCGATACAAATGAAAAGCTGTTACCTTCCCTCTTTTTGAAGCTGTTTATACAACTTGAACAGAATTATTAATAAATATTTCTCCTCTCTTGTTATACTACTTGGTATATATATAATTTATCTAATTGGATTTTTCTTATGAAAAAACGTCCAAAATTACTGTCAATTATATAACATCATATATTGTAAAAAGTTAGTTTATTCTTATTGTATTGTATATCTTATTTGTAATACTTGTAATTGGTTAATGAAATTTATTAGCAAATATATAAATTTTATATACAGTAAAATTAGTTTTTATTTTAATCTATATATAGATTCACACATACACACATTTTTGTAACATTTTATATAAATCTTTTAAGATCATATTATATATGCTTCGGAAGTAAATATTCCATAAAATTTTTTAGTATAAAATGTATAGTTTATTGAAATCATAAATATTTTGAGCCTAATATAGCACGTACAAATATAATTTTTACGTTAATACGTATAAATTAATTCAGTCAGAGTGTTTATTTACAATTTCTTACTCACGAAGTTTTCTTTTCAGACATCTCTCTTCTTTTACATACAAATAAACATATTTAGATATGCAAGAAATCCACTTGTCTTTTTGTCACAGTATTCTTTAAAACAACTTGTTACTTCGGCTTGGTTTCCTGATCGTTGACGTATCTTATATAAATTTCTTGTTCGTCGCTACCGCCTGGTGGAATTTCGGCCTCGTTTAAATACGAGACACCTATTGCTAACACCGAACCGTCATGACTGAAACTAAGTGCAGCCACACCCGCATTGTACCGATGAAATTGACAGAGACGTTTCTTGTTAAAACCGTCCCAAATATTCACATAACCATCTGATCCACCTGTGGCAAAGGTATTGTACGTGGAATGAAAACTAATAGCATTCACAGGATAAATATGCTCGACATTATTCTCTTTTATCCTGTGACACTTAAATGCATATTTCTTCTTTTGTGCTTCTGGCATTGTATCTAAATACTCGACGGCAACTCGACCTTCTATGCTACTCAATACATATCCCTAAACACAATAGAAACATAAACTAATATACAAAGAGCAATATACAAGCAATGCAAACAAACTATACAGAATGTAGAAAAAACATACTTGCTCGTTGGGAAAACCTTTGATACAGCGCGTTTGATACTTTAAACTGCTTTCTCGTCTTTGAAACATGCCTGCCATGTTCCTTAAATCCCAAATACAAACTTTTCGTTTTGCGGTACCGACCACAAATTTGTCACCACATACAGACAGAGCAAGAACTACATCTGGTTGCAAATAACTACCAACGCAAGTAGGTGTTCTTGGATCCCACAGTTTTACCGCAGCATCCCAACCACCGGTTAGTATTGCGTTAACAGCCGTGCAATATTCTATCTTTCTGATTGGCTTGTCATGTGTACCCATTATTGTCTCTGTGAATTAAATTATTCTGTACAATCATAATTTAAATGACAAGCAAAACTATGTATGTATATAAAAGGAAAAAAGTCATGTATATAACAATACCAGTGTTGCTATTTACATCATACATCTTTAAAGTATTTCCTAGACCGCCGCTATACGCATGAACAGCATCCTACAAACAAACTTTGTGACAGAAAATAATATTAAAAAAAAGACAAATTAGGAAAACAATTCTACATACTTGAAATGCAATATCCAGTACTGGTAAGTCATGATTATATTTCACTCTCATTGTATTCGTGTGAATATCGTACAATCTTACTGTACTGTCCCATGATGATACTAACAAAAATTGTGTAGAGTTTGGTCCAAATTCCACTGCGGAAATTGCATCGGTTGGCGGTGATTTTATTTTGAACTCAGTTCTGGATTCCATTCTATGATAAACAATAATGAAATATTTATTCGTGTAAAATAAATAAAAGTTTCATACGACACATAATATAGCGCGTGAATGTTAATTTTTTAACCTATAAACCTAAACACTTGAGAGCGTAAAGGTTTTATCAATTATACTTATCTTAAGTTACAATTTTATGTTAAGAAATAAAATGAGTGAATATTTTTGAATACTACCTGACACTGAAACTGTAGATGTGTCTGTATTTTTTGCTAAAGATAATCACGAGATAACCTATAACTTCGATAAATTTATATATTTACGAGGCGGGAGATAGTTCGTTGTGGATGGTGAAGTGAGTCTTTAAATAAAAATGTTTTAAAAAGTGGAAGAAAGAAGAAGATCAGGGCAGAGGAAGGGAACAACAGTGACCACATCCAATAGAATTCAGCTTGCTTTGCGCTTATTGTCTGCGATTGGCCTTTTCCTGTAAATCTAAATAAAGTATGAAAGTATATGCTAATGACTAAGCAACAAAGCGCCGAGTTCTGCTGAACGAATAATCGCATAGGCTGCGTTCGGGGAGAGCACTATCGGCACTGTTGCATCATTGGGTGCGTTCAGACAACTCAACAGTTGCACAACGGTTGAGGGATAATCACTTCTGATTGGATCATACTTTTGGAACCGCTGCAGATTTTGAAGAATAGTCCTATCATAAGTGATGATCTTTCAACCGTTGAGTTGTCTGAACGCACCCAACGTTGCGCGTGGGATACTAGCTGGCAACCAATGGCTGTGGAGTGAGGAAGCTTTCTGATAGGTGATACGCGCGAAACGGACGGGTTTTCGTTTGCTTCGAGAATATTCTCTCATTGAACAGAGTATAAAACTGTATGACTTGTATGTGTATGTCTGTGTGTTTGACGCACGCCAACGTAGTCGCATCGTTGACGCGAAAGTCATGCGTTGTTGATCGGTGATAATTTGTATTTAACGTTTTACTAAAAAAAAAAAAAGTAAAATGGCAGATAAATCTCGTCGTGTAACGCAAACAGAAGATTTGTCAAACGTTGAGTTTGAAACCAGTGAAGATGTTGAAGTTATTCCTACTTTCGATAACATGGGTCTCCGTGATGAATTGCTACGCGGGATCTATGCCTATGGTACGGATATCACGTTTTGACTTTGATCTAACCTCATTTTCTCATTGTGGATTTGTTTCTTTGTAGATAAGAAATAATTAACAATCGGGTCGCTTAAATTAATTTATTTTGCACGCACACATATATTTGATCCAATAAGAATGTACACATTTGTTTCTTATAAAACTTGTAAATTAATCATATATGAAAGTTCAATATCAGATCTTGTTTCACTTTGATATATGTGAGATTATTTTTGTAGGTTTTGAGAAACCATCTGCTATTCAGCAACGATCCATAAAGCCCATTATGAAGGGCCGAGATGTTATAGCCCAAGCACAATCTGGAACAGGAAAAACTGCTACCTTTTCGATCGCAATATTGCAATCGTTAGATACACAAGTACGAGAGACTCAAGTTTTGGTTTTATCACCAACTAGAGAACTTGCTACACAAATTCAAAAAGTTATTCTCGCATTGGGCGACTTTATGAATGTTCAATGCCACGCTTGCATTGGCGGTACAAATCTTGGAGAAGACATCAGGAAGTTAGATTATGGTCAGCATGTTGTATCCGGTACACCTGGTAGAGTGTTTGGTATGTATTTTGCTTTGATTATTAAAGTAACTTTCAAATTAGTTTTTTTTTAAGTTTCTTATCTTAATTTTGAAGGGAGTATATTTTATGAAAATTATTAACAAGCATCGTTTTAGTATTTATTTAAAATTTGTAAAATATATTTTTTTGTAGATATGATTAAAAGACGAGTACTTAGAACTAGAGCTATAAAAATGCTAGTACTGGATGAGTCAGACGAAATGTTGAATAAAGGTTTCAAAGAACAGATTTACGATGTGTACAGATATTTGCCACCGGCAACACAAGTTGTTTTGGTTTCGGCTACTCTACCGCATGAAATTCTTGAGATGACCAGTAAATTTATGACCGATCCTATTCGCATTCTTGTCAAACGGTAACACTTTGATCTTTTTAACTCTAATATATTGCCAGATTATATGTATTTATTTAATTTTACAAAATTTACATGCGTATATCTTTGTAGTGATGAATTGACACTGGAAGGAATCAAACAATTCTTTGTTGCCGTTGAACGAGAGGAATGGAAATTTGACACACTCTGCGATTTATATGACACATTGACAATAACACAAGCAGTTATCTTCTGCAATACTAAACGTAAGGTAGACTGGTTGACGGAAAAGATGCGAGAAGCCAATTTCACAGTATGCTGCATGCATGGCGACATGCCGCAAAAAGAACGAGACAACATAATGAAAGAGTTTCGATCTGGTCAAAGGTGAGAGATTTAATTCAGAATTAAAAAAAAATAATGTAAAATATGACAAAATTCTCACAGAGAATAATTTTGTATTGATTGTATGTTTTGTTCTTATAGTCGCGTGCTAATCACAACAGACGTGTGGGCAAGAGGCATCGACGTTCAGCAAGTGTCGCTCGTTATTAATTACGATTTACCTAACAATCGTGAATTGTACATTCATCGCATAGGTCGATCTGGACGTTTTGGACGTAAAGGTGTATCGATAAACTTTGTGAAAACTGACGATATAAGAATTCTGCGAGATATCGAGCAGTATTATTCGACGCAGATAGACGAAATGCCAATGAATGTAGCCGATTTAATATAAGATTTATAATATAAGAGATTTATAATCAAACCGAATATATGTATCACAAATCCCTCCCTCACATCGTCTAATGAATTTCTCATGACAAAAACAGCAAATAATTTTCTACAAGAAATATTACAAGACGATTTTAAACATTTATTCAAAAAAACACTGTCGTATAGCTCTTTAGTTATTTATAGTACGTTATTCTTGTCGAAGTAATTAAGAAGCATTTAGCTTCGAAATTTTTTTCTATGCTAATTTATGTAACAATAACGAGACTATTCAAAAACAGTGTAAGAAAACAGTGTACAAAACTATACTACGTATAATGCAGTATATTAATATTTCACTTCCACAAAAAAAGTTTATGTTTTTAAAATCGAAATAATCTGTTTTGCACTTGTGGACTGTTATCTTATTTTTAGGATACTGTGTAAAAAAAATAAAGTATTTTGGCAAGAATGTAAAAAACACTTCTTATTTGTATAAATATTGCTCCTAATATTGCGCGGAAAAGCAAGCACGAGCAATATATAGTATACTATAGCATTACATATATATCAGAAAAATCAATAACTGCTGCAACAGTTTGAGAAAGCGGCGCTGTAGAGTTTAGTATAACAGAAACTCACCTCGAAAATGAAACAGAACTGGAAAATCGTAAGAATTGCGTTGAAAATTATACGACCTCATCGATAATGTTTTTCTGAGTCTCAATGAGGTAAATAGTATATTATCAATGTGAAGAAATAAGTACATATAATTTCAGTATAAAACATGTTACATGTATGTGTGCAGACATATAATTTCAGTTTGTTTATTTTTGTTTATTAATAGGTTTTATGTGTATAATTAAGTAACATATATTACGAGAAATACTCAATAAAATGGAGCAGCAAAATGATTGCTCGCTTCAAAGAGGACAGCCACTGCGTCGCTATGCAAATGATTACAAGACAGAAGGAGGACATTCATCTACCTGTATTTTTTATTATATTTATCTGTATAATTTTCTTACGTTTTATATAAAAAAAAAATTATATATATATATATATATATTAATATTTTCATAAATTCCATCTCTTTTTTTTTTTCACTTCTAGTGAATAAAACAATGGCAAATCAGTACTCGAATACAGGTAGACCTACGGTACGCATAGTTGTAAATTTAATGACAGGGATATTTCTGATGGAAGTCGAACAAAACGCGACAGCACAGCAAATTCTTACTATAGTGCAATCGGAAGAAGGATTGTCAAGAATTGCTTTAACGACTACCGTGCCAGTTTTTGCTCTGTGGATGTGTTCGTCACAATTAGAAGTTCAATTACGTCCAACACACAAACCCATAGAATTGGCTGCTAAGTGGAGTTATCTTGTGAATAAATATAGTTCTTACACAGAATATTCCGATGATGAAGAACCTTTATTATATTTTCGCAGAAACATATTTCTGTCTAGGACAGAGGAGGAGCAAATCAAGGATATCAAAGTACTCGAGTTGCTCTATGCGGAGGCCAAACACAATGTTCTACAAGGCAAGTAGTTTTGATATAAGAGAGAGAGAAAAATTGATTACTTTATATATATAAAATCTAAAAACTTTATTATATGAAAATATTTTGTATATGTGTGCGCGTGTGTTAAAAGAAACACAACACTTTTTTCTATAATTTATTATTCTGTGAAATGAATATTGTTCTATCATATAAATTTATTTTCCAGGACGATATGCATGTGACGGTCCTGGGCGTTACACCAGTTTGGGAGCTATGCAGGCCCGAATCGAACTTGGACCTTATAACGCGCAAAATCACACTTTAGCTTTTTTCCGAAGACACCGCGGCCGATTCTTACCACGTCATTACGCCTCTCCCAGTCTCTTATTTGGTTTGGGACTGGGATTAGGATTAATAGGTGGCAAAGAAGCGCCCGAGGCGCATCTTCTGGAACAATATAAACGAATACCAAGTGGCACTCACAACGGTACCGTTAATGTGATTCCGAGGAAGCTAATGAGGAAGTACCTCGAATTCTGTTGGAATTTACCGTGTTATGGCGCGGCTTTTTTTCAAGGACAAATTGAACGACCCGTCAGAGGCCTTGCTTCGTGGATCACCAATCGCGATATGCAAGTTCTCATAGCGATTAATACATCGGGAGTGTATATAGTTGATGACGTACAATGCGTAAGTGTGATATAATCGAATAAAAATGTTTTATTTTTATAACGCAATAATTTTACACACACATGAATAAAAAAAAACAAAACATTTTAATAAAATAGTAACATTTGAAAATATATATATTTGCGCAGAGCTTATTATTAGGACTAAAATATTCGGAGTTGAGTTGGGAAATGGCGAAACCCTCGGATGAAAACAATTTGGACTGTTTGCCTTGTTTGTTTTTACAATTTCCCGTACGAGAAAACGGAACGCGAGTCTATAAAATCTTACAAGTGTTTTCGAGACAGGTAAAGTTTTGAGAATATTCTATTAGTAATAGAATATTACTTTTAAATATAAAGTTATTATTATTATTATTATTAAATATAGACTATTATTTTTATTATAATAAAATATTATATAGCCCGATTATACTGGTCACTTTTGTAGCGGCACAGAGAAACATATTATACAGCAGAAACTCTGATGTTTCAGGCGCCAATGATGGATACTTTGATATCTGGCTTTGCCGAGGACTATCGTCGTCAATTTATCAACAGCGACGATCAGTCAGCCAAAGATCCTCTCGTCTCTCCCAGTGGAAATTTTACAAATAAACTCAGCAAATTTACACTGGCTACTTTTGACGATGAAGGTAATGAAACAAAATTCAAAAAAGAAGGTATGTTGCTTTACTTATTTTTCAAAATCATCATTTCAGGTCGTTGTATCGGTCAAATGGGTTCTTGGTCTTTTCAATAAATGCATTCTGATATATTTCTGATGTACTTTTTGTGATTAATATACACTCTTTGGTAATATAAAACAATTCTAATTTTTATGGCGTAAAAAGAGACCTTTTCTATCCTGTAATATACATCCTAATACGTGTGTTTGTACTTTTTGTTTCTTATTTCTTTATAATTATTATAGATTTTCATAAATTTTTTTTCAAATATTTCTTTTTTATTGCACTGAAAGCACTTTGAGATGTGAACTTTCTCGTAAACGATCCAACAATTTTTTATATCTTTGTGGTACTAAATTTCTATGCCGATTCATATATGTTTCTAACACGTTTATATCAAAACTTATTTGGTTAATCTTAGCTAGTATCTCTTCTTTCTCCGTTTTTGGTAAGTCTTCGGACTGCACATAAATATTGATCATAATTATATAAGATATATACATATATACATATATATATATGTGTATGTAAAACCGAGATAAGTATAACAAAAAAAGAGTGAGTAATAATATCAAACAAAAAATTTCTCTTACTTGCAATAATAAGACCTGACTTTCTTTCAGTTCTGCTGAACGCTTTTCGATTAAACGCAAAATACGATTTGCTTTGTTAACAGACATTTGTTTGAAGTCGTTCAAACATTCATTGCGTAGTAAATACGCTTGAGCTTTGCTGACGTAATCTGGATTTCCTATTCGTGCCAAATACGGTTCTACTGGATTGATCTCTTTTGCAACATCTAGCTCAGTATCCATTGCAGTTTTCTAAAGATAAATCATTGTTAAAGTTAATTAATAAAAAAATAATATATTCTATTGGTTTTGATATAGTTTAATCGGGACAAAATTCAGAGAGGCATTTAAAAGACAACACAGATTCTTTTAAAAAATGATGATAAAAGGTAAAAATATATTATAAAAAAAAAAATTAGAAATGTAAAATAACATTACGAAAAGAAAATTTACAATCCTTCGAGTTATATCTTTCTTTATATATGTTGGCTATATAAATATAGATAAATTAAACAAAACGGTACCGGTCTTAATTCATTTGTTGCCTGGATTTTTGAACGATTTGGATCGAATAAAGAAATGGTGAACTGCAAATTTATACATTCTTCTTTTCTTCTTTTCAAATACTCCGCAATTTCAGTTTCAGTATCTCTGACGCAAGATATTACATGGTCCTCGTCTTTCAGATGTTTATCGAAATCATAAAAGAGATCGAGATATTTCTCTGATGGCGCAATCGGATCTGGCTGCAAGAAAAATAGAAACAAAAATTACAATTTATATTAATTAAGAAATAATTTTTTTTTATATACAGGGTGTCCCAGAATTGGTTTAACATCTCTCGTAGGCAGGTAGAAGGAATAAAACTGAGGTGAAAAGTCCTATACCATTTTGCTAGATTCGCAATAGTTACTGAGATTTTAATTAATAAAGATCCCGCGAAGCGCGGCGGGCAATCTTACGCGCGTAAGACAGCCCGATGCACGCTTATTCGCGGATCTTTGTTAATTAAAATCTCNGTAACTATTGCGAATCTAGCAAAATGGTATAGGACTTTTCACCTCAGTTTTATTCCTTCTATCTGTCTACGAGAGATGTTAAACCAATTCTGGGACACCCTGTATATAATGTAAGAAACAAAGTTCTACATTGTATCCGTGGGTCATTGAAGAATCGAAGATTAAACGATCTCCTCTGTCTCCTATCGATGGTTTTATAAATGTTCGAGTGGCTCTGGTGCTTCGGCCTTTATCATAATGAAATTTTAGACGTACTTCATTTTCAATCATTGTAAATTCGCGTTCAGCTACATCTTTGCACGCCGGAATAGTTTCGTTTCTATAATATTTTTCAACAATTTTCTGCAAGAAATACAATAGCGTCTCGAAATTTTTCCGCTCCTTTGTTCCGCGAGAGGAAAAATTTTGAGGGAAGTTTCGAGAATCGTCGGCTGGCTGTTATCTCTGATTGGCTCGACCGCCCACCGCAAAGTCATTCCCACCAATTCGCGCAAAGCCTCGGCGAAGCACTTCTAGGAATAGTGCTCTCTCTCTTTTATTTGTCACAATTTTTAGCTTCTCCTTATTTAGAGGAGAAGTTCTTCCACTTTTGCTTAGCACTGATTTGGTGGAATCAATCCCCACGCTATTCGTAAAGTTCCCTCTCCACTACTGTCGTGCAACATTGGTCATACCCAGCGTTGCCGTGGAACTTGCCACAGCGTAGTAACGTCACGCGGTAGAAGGGGTAATTTACGATTGGTGAGAAGAATACGCGACGCGAGTCGTACCTCTCTACCTCTCTACTAAGTTCCACGGCAACGCTGGTCATACCATGGTGGAATTAGTAAGATTAAGCATTCCGATGAATGCGCAGTAGCCAGCCAATCAGAAAAAAGCGGCAATGCAAAAAACAATATGGTATTGGCAGATTTGCAAAGCCGCTTACACTTGGTTGGTTGGTGAAATATATTCGTTGCCGCCCTTCTTTTTTCTCTACCTTTTCCATTATGCGCAGAGAGATGCCAGATCGCGCCGGACAGCATCGAGAGTATCCCCACCGCCTCGATGCTCTCGTACGCATATAAGCGAGAACCGGACGCTGTTTTCGCTTGTATGCGTACGAGAGCATCGAAGACGGTGAGTGTACTCTGCTTCGATACCCTCGATGTTGTCCGGCGCGATCTGGCATCTCTGATTATGCGCAATGCTTCACCTTACTAATTCCATCATGGGTCATACTTGACAAAGCTCCGCTTCTAACTAGAAGGTGGGACACCTCTTTTAATTTTATTTTGTGAAATTCTCTATCCCGGATTACAAAAATTAAGGAGGGAGCACTGAATTAGTGGGGATGACTTCCGGAAAAATATGGAGAAAAAATTTTTCAAGGCTACTTAAAAAATACACTACTTCAAGGTACATAAAACGAAATTAATCGCAAACATGATTTTCTCTTTCATGTAATTAAGAAAGACTGGTAAATAGTATTACTGAAATACGTCGAAAATGAATGCCATCTAGTGCTGGGTTGCCTTTTTCCGTTGAGAATTCAGTATGTCTGTTAAAACAGTGCAAAACATATCGTAAGTATATAAAATTAATTATATCACAATTGCACCAGCCAATTTTCAATCAATCGATTGCTCGAATTTACCTATAGTAAAGAAAATCCTCACGATCCACGTAATATTGAGTCAAATAGAGTGGATCCACTTCAATGCGCAATAATCCATCAAATCTTCCACCTTTGTAGAATTCTATTACTCTTTTGTTGTATAAACCATCATCGTCATGCATGGGATATTCGTGTGCTATTGTGTGATATTTCTTGAAATTAACATAAAGCAAGATATAAAAAACGTTCACGTGAATATTTCAAGTTGCGCTTACTCTTGCATTGATCCACCCGACCTTTCTCAAAGAGATCCATGATGTTACACAATTCAAAATGTTTCTTAGATTCAATAAGACAATCATCTCTATGTAAATACTTCTCGTGGCTTTCAACAGAAATAGCATAATCATAATCTTCATAAAGAGTCACTCGCTGAACTAGACCATTTTGAGTGTACGGCGCGTATAACTCCACCTTGGCTTTTTTGTACAGTATTGTCTTAGCGCCTTGCGGATATCGCTTTTCAAAATCTGAAATAGCAACGTGAAATAAATAAAAAAAAAACTAAAGTTTAAAACTCTTGCTTTAATTAGATTCAGTAATATATTTTGTTATATATCCTATACCTAAACTGGTTATGTGGAGTTCACTCACATACGAAGTTGGCATGTCCAAATGCTTATTTTGCAAAATAATATCCTCTTCGATCTCTTCCGTATCTTTAGATATGACAAATGGTTCGTCAGGAAACAAGTGTTCCCAGCATTTGACATTACTCAAATCCCAATTGATGTCCTTGCAATTCTGTCCGCGACGTTGCATGTTCACCCAATAATTCTGATTGTTCCAAATGTTCTCCACTCCAAGGTACAACGAATGAGTTTCGTCGTCGTCGAGACTGTATGAGAGCCCGGAAGAAGGCTCGATAAAAATTGGTTCAATGATTTCTTCATTTCGCGCGCTTCTTTCATCCGGTAATATAACCACCCAAGCGTGGATTCTACGACCAAAATACTCGTCTGGCGGTAAACGCTCAAAATCCTGAAATTAAAATGTCGTCTATGAAACAATGATTGAAGATTAATCGAATATTTTCTTAAAGATGCATGAGAGAGAGAGATATTTTATTAGTGCGTACATCGATCAGTTTCTGTTCTTCTTCTCTTTGCTTTTTCAATTCGGCTTCTACTCTTTTCTTCTCGCGATCTTCCAATTCTAAGAGAAATTGACTTCTAAAATCTGGCGGTGATTTTAAACAATATTTATTAACGATATCTGATACTTCTGTCTTTGGCGGTATTACTTCAGGTTTTACCAGATAAGGACAAGTTTTTCTAGTCATATCGCACAATGTTTGTTCACGTGACGCATATCCGCTTACCACGAAAGCGTTATATCCTTGTCCTAGAAGCAGGCTCACCAAAAGTGTTGCATACTCAAAGCTGTTCCCTTTTTGAAAATGTAGCACCCATGTCGGTGAACGCAAATTTCTTGGCTGAAAAAATACTACAAGTTACTTTTTGTTTCACAACCCTCACGTATGATGACTCGCGGAAGTTTTCTTTACGGAATTCTCTCACAAGAAAAGCTTAGTGTAGTTAAAATTCATATTAATACAAAACGAGTACACGTGACACGAAACGTTGTCTTTTTTCTTTGCTAGACGGTCCTGAACCGTCCTATCCAGCAAACAATTTCTGTTTTTGACCATTTCGGCGCGGAAATTACCAGTACCTTGGTAACAGAAACTTGTTTGCAGAAATGCTAAGGTAAATGTCTCAGTGATTAAACGTGTCCCAGTACTTAAACACTCTCTCGAATTTTCATTTATATTAAACTATTTTTTACTGATATTTACAATAATCAAAAGTTTTATTAATATTTTTAATTGTATTATTATTAAAACATTGTAATAAAAGTTTTCTAAACAGTAGATGTGATAAAGAAAAAAATAGTTTTTGAGAGTAGTAGCAAATTTATTGCGTTTTCAACTCTTACGTTAGCGGTTTGCGTAAGACAAAGTATATTCTTCTTAAGGTTATAATTAAATACACAAAATGAACTTTTTGTTCAGCAAAGATTTTTTAAACTCACTATAGATTGATAAAAAAACTTTGTTCTATCTTTAATTTTTAGTTATAATAATTAAATTATCGTGTTTATGTACTGGTACGAGAATCTGCCGGTAGCGGAGTTGTTAAACACTTGATTCATCATAGCGTAGTTAGTCTTGCATACACGTATTGAGTGATATTTGTGCGACAAAACATAAATTTGCAACAAATCAGTAAGTAGTTTTGTGTTTTCATGGTTTCATTTTATCTAAACGTAATAAAATAATAATATCTTAACTAAAATATTTAAATATTATATGATAAAGTAGATGACTTGTTTTCATAAACTTATCAAAAGGTTATGAAACTCTAAGTAAAATCTAGTTTTGTAAAATCTCTAGTTTTGTAAAATCTTCAAATTTTTTAGTGATTTGTAATAAATCTATAACTTTTCATGGAATAAAATGCATGAATAATTTTTTTTCTGTTCTATATTATCGTGTTAATAATAGCGTTTAAGTACTGGGACGAGATAGTTTAAGTATTGGGACAAGTTAGAAAACCTGTTTAAGCACTGGGCCATAGCAGGTATGTTAGAATTCTATTAATTTACTTTGTTTTTCTTTATAAACCAGCTCTTTAAAGCTTTATTTAGTGAAAATATAGTCTGGTTTTTTAAATAAATACTAATACTCACCAACAAAAGTTAAATTATACGAGTATGATTTGTATAAGTTAAACAGCTCTCTTAAACGTTTAAGTATTGGGACATTTACCTTATACGTGCGGACTGTTTGCAATTTGGCGCCAACAGACAATGACCAAATCTATTCCGGATTTTGGCTTCATTTTGGCGATAATTTGGCTTCGCTTTGTTTGTGGCACACTCTGTTATCATTTTTGTCGCATTTTGACATTTCATATGTTCACACACATGGTTAACAAACTATATCCTACTGAGGACACAGATGGATACGGTTTTGTAACCAAAATGTTTGCTGGGTAATATATATCGTGATTACCGATAAACGTGACATCAACTATGGAGCATTGTTAGAGAAGATAGATAAATAAACTAAAAGTGGAGGGACATCTAACAAAAAAAAATGAATCCCTGCGTTACCTAGATCTATAGGATTCTCTGCGACTACCGCTGGTCATTTATTGACCAGTCTGATTTTTTTTGACCTGGTATTTACTGCTAGGCTTCACAGATTTTCAGGCTCCAAAAACATAATGCCCAAGGATCTAAGTCTTTTGAAAACTAGAGACAGGCAGCGACACAATATGTGCACGCTGTCCTTCTTTTTCTCACCGCAAAATCTACATCCCTCAGGACCTAGCCCCCCTACCTTGTCCGAATCAATTCAAAATTATTGCAGAATTAAGAGCTATTTATGAGCTTTTGAACCCACCAGGTTAAGAATTTTGAGCTCGTTTTGCGGAGCAGGAATTCCAAGTTTTCGGTGGGGGGCGCAATCCAAAGGGACTCAGCCCTCAAAAGCTCATAAATAACTTAGATTCGTATGTAACTTTAAACTTTATTCAACGCACAAGCAAAATTTACTTAAATGTAGCATAAACGTGGTACGTTAACCCTTTCGCTACGGGCGGGTTCTCCGCCGCGGTACTTCTGCTGAACAGAGCGCCGCGACATCACTGCACGCTACGCGACGTCGATCGTCAGCAAGAGTATCGCGGCGGAGAACCCAAGCTGCTTGAATGTTTTCGGATAAAAAAATTTTTCTCCAAAGGGTATTTATAAATAAAGAGTATTCCAGGGTATTTATAACGTCTTAGTATGCGCTCTTTAATTTATAATATGAGAGGAAGTAACATTATGCAATATAATATAATAAAACAATATAACATATTATAACACAATTCTACAAATAATACAACATAATATAATACAATTCTAATAATGTAACTGCGTATGAGAGCCACTATAGTGGCTCTATCTTGCGGAGAGCCACTATAGTGGCACGTAGTGGGTGACGTCCATTTGACCACGGTACAATTGGACACAGTACGATTGCACACGTAATATTGGACACGTACGATTAGACACGGTACGATTGACCACCGTACGATTGACCAC